GCGTGAGCAGGCGGGAAAGGAGGGCGATGTGGAGGGGCAGCGAGCCGGGGCAGAGTGCCGGGGGCAGAGTGCCGGGCGGGTGTCATTCTGGCGTAGGCAGGGAGAGACGCGGTGGTGCTGGTGGTGGTGCTGGCGGAAAGCTGAGCCCAGGCTGAAAAGCTGTCCAGGCACACGCACACGACCTGTGCACGCACCAGACATACACTGCTCGATGAACAAACAATCTACAACGCTACAGCAGCTCCCCAAATTATATACTGCGTAAATTATTACCTGAAACCAAGAGAAACCCTTCAATTACAAAGTTGAATACATTTATTCAGCGTTACCACCCTTTCTGGCGATCAAAGCCTTTCTGTCCTTGTCCAAGTACAACTTGGTGATGACAAGCTTGGATGGGTGAATGTTGATTGGGACAGAAGCACCGTTGGACTTCTCCTTGGTCAACTTGTCAACCTGAACAGCAAACTTCAATCTGTAGACAGAGGAGACCTTACCCTCTTGGCCCTTCTTGGAACCGCGAACAACCAAGACTTGGTCCTCCTTTCTGATTGGAAGAGCCTTGATCTTGTATTGCTCTTGCAACTCCTTGGACAATGGAGCAGACAAAAGTTTACGTCTGATAGAAGATGGGGCAGTGAAGTAGGCCTTTCTGGCTTTGCTTCTGGAGCTGGAAACGTCTGTACAAGAAAAAAGAGTTAGTATTTCAAATCTTGAGAAAACACACGGAGGATGAGTTTTCGGAATGCAAGCACTTGGAACAGATTTGATTTTAAGAAGAACAAGTCAGAACGAGACAGTTGAACTGCATGTTCTGTCTCCATCGGGATTGGATGAATCTCGTGCTTGTAAGTAAGATGTCAAACAGAGCCGATGAAGATAGAAAGTTTAGTTTCAGTATGAGATATCAGTAAGTGCTACAAGGTATGTGAATGTCACTGGTAGATGTGTATCATCCGATCACTCCTTGGTAAATTCACACCCTCATCGTTCATCGTTCACAACTTTTCACTTCGTGATGACACATTGAAAAAAAAGTCTCTCTTGTATCTTCTTTCACATATCTGTCTTTCTGTACACCGTTGAATATCGTCTACTCGTCTAACTCCATACGACGCCATCACATACCAAGGGATTGCTTAGCCATTTTTGCTGTCTCTGTTGTACCGTCTATGTAACACACTACTTGGAACAAAGCTGTTGAAGTAAATTTCAATTTTCAGCTGTTGATGCGCTTTCTGGCGTGGGACTGCTCTGCAGAAAGAAGAGTTGTGCGAAATTCGCGGGTGTTGACGTAGTGAGAATGTCCGGATGTTTGGTAGTCTGTGTTAGGGCTACACACATCACGTGCATGTATATAGGGCTTGCATGTACTCTCAAAAGTGTTATCAACCAGCTACGATAGAAGTGGAGTGAGTTTAATCTACTATAGCACAATAGATACCAGGATACCGATACGCGTGAATAACATCAATCCGATATACAAGAACATGGGACTAGCACAAGAGCACCTTAAATGAAGCAGAGTAGAGGTATACAGTTAGGCAGAGTTGACCACGATCCACGAGGTCGTCTAAATCTGGGAAGGAGAACGGGTGTCTGTTTCATGATTTGCAAACCTTGTCCCAATGATGTAAATCCCTTATGATAGCTATTACTTCTATCACAACCTACAAGCAAAAAAAACAAGACCATAGGTTCAATATTGGATACCTGGTTTACATAGCAACCACGAATATCAGGAAATCAAAATTTTAAGTGGAAGCCCCTCCCGAGGATCGAACTCGGATCAGAATCTCCGGAGGATACCATGCTAACCATTGCACCAGAGGGGCAATCCTGGTTGGAAAAAGCGAGCGTTATCATCCAAACCGTGCACGGTGTTGCAGGCAGGGGTTACCCAGCTTAACGGGTTTGTTTGTTTACTTTTGAGACACATCGCTATGTGTCTCCAGTTTCACTCATTGAACTTCATTGATTATACACCTCCAGCGGAGAATCACCAGGGGAAGTTCCGATATCACACAAGGAAAGTACGATATCTTCAGGTGGCCCGAGCTCTCCACTTCTCGTGCCCTCATAGTGCTGTGATTTGTGGCCCTGTCAAGCTGTGTATTGCGTCTGAGTACTTGATTCCATCACAATGGATCCAAACGTCTCAAAGTCCATGTTTCTGGATAAGTTCAAGGACGATGATGACTACTCCGAAGAGTTTTCAATAGTGGAGGAGAACGAGCTGTTGCTGTCCCCGAAATTTAAGCGGTTACAATCATCACCACCCAGATCGTCATCATCATCACCTACAAAATCGGGCCATAATGAGAACTTTGGTACTTTTGATTCGATACCTGATCTGCAGTTCAAGGAGCCACCAAAGACGCCGACAAAGACAAGGAGCGAATCAAGGATCCCACTGAAGCACATGAACAGGAAGCCTCCGCAGCCAAAGTTTCTCCCTCGTACGCCCACTAAGATCCATGGTTTAGGGTACTCAAAGAGACCGGAAATGAAAGTATCCCTTACACCGGCTCAGAGATTGGAGAAGAAGTCTGGTAGGATGATCACAACAAATGACATATTGGCATCGTACGAATTTAAAGAAAATATCGGGAAAGGTGCCTTTGCGAACGTCTATCGTGCCATTAATAAAATAACTGGAGATCAGGTTGCAGTGAAGGAGATTCTCATTGAAGACGACGATAACATATTAGAGTTGATGTCTGAAATCGACCTACTCAAGATCCTCAAGCATAGAAACATTGTGAAATACCATGGATTCATAAGAAACGAAAGGAAATTGTTCATATTCTTGGAATACTGCTCCGGAGGCTCGCTTAGAAGCTATTACAAGAAGCACGGCCCTTTAACAGAGGATGCGGTTATAACATACATCAAACAAGTCTTAGAAGGGTTGATGTATTTACACGAGCAAGGTGTTGTGCATAGAGATGTTAAAGCTGCAAACATCCTTCTTACGAGCGGTGGGGCTATCAAATTAACAGATTTTGGTGTTTCTACAAAAGTATCGTCTAGCACAATAAAGACGTTCTCCATTGCAGGGACTCCAAACTGGATGGCACCAGAAATAATATCGATGGATGGTACATCTACCGCGTCAGACATCTGGTCTGTCGGTGCTACGGTCTTGGAGCTTTTAACTGCCGAACCACCGTATGCACATTTGAATGAGATGGCTGCCCTACATGCCATAGTCACAGACGAATTCCCACCTCTACCACAATTCATATCACCAGAGTGTCACAGTTTTTTGTTGGAATGTTTTGAGAAGCAACCAGCTAAAAGACTCACGGCCAAACAACTCAGAGACCATCCATGGTTGACGAGTCAGGTGAGAGGGAATAGAATTGTTGATTCCATTATGCTTAGCCGTTCCAGAAGAGCATCACGTCTGGTTGAACAGGACTTCAACTCGATAAAGAGACTTCACACGAAGAAGTTTCTTCCATTAAGCACTAATACACTTAAGCATGGAGACTCTGAGGCGAATAAATTCCTCGACGATGATCTTCCACAGGAATTTAGAGACTTAGAAATCAATTCTTCAAATCTAAGTGCAAAGATGTTTGAACCTGTCAGCATGACGTGCAAGAATGACAAGGTCTCTGAACTAATTGAATCCTTTTACCAACATGAAGATGATCTGGATGTTCTTACACGACTCAACTTGGAACTTGGACAAGCTGGGAAGTTAGTCGGATCGTTTGTTACAACAGAGTTTGTTTTCAGGGTCATTCAAGCGATGGAAACTAAGATTGGAGTCGAGACAGAGCTAACAGGTGCCTACCTAACACTTTTGCACAATCTTTTCAAGCTCTCTGATCTAGCGATACATGACTTCACAGACCTTGGTGGGCTACCACTCTTGACTAACTGTCTTCATAGCAACAACGAACGTCAAATCAGACATCATGCGTCTGAAATACTCACTGAACGTTTTCAAAGAAACTCATGTTCGCTTCGTGTTTTTGTTCAAAGTGGTGGGCTTAGAACAGCTTTAAAACTTCTTGAAGAAGATTTTGTCGAAGACCAGGTGCTACCTCAAAGTGTTATTGGCATAATAAGTCAATCTTTTAAGGACCGTGTTGTTCCAGAAAAGATTCTCCAGCTAATACTGCTTTCCTTCCCCAATTTCTTAGATTGGATATCTGTCATGGTACTGCACTCCACAAATGTTAAAAATTCACTGTTGGCAGATTCTCTTATTGATATAATATGTTTCACGGAAGGCTCCAAGTTGCTCAACTTGAAACCTATATTTCTCAACTCCATATTCAAAGCTTACAACAAGCTTACAAAAGTGAACCAGATTAAATTGTTGAAATTCTTCAAGTCTGTGAATGTTAATGATCTTCCAGACTCTGCTTCTATGGTGAAATTTCTCACGAAGACTATCAAAAGAGACGTCACCAACACATCACAAACGGATAGTGACACATTGAGCCTCTGTTGTTCGTTGCTTTTCAGCATGTGTCATTTGAACCATGCCCGTCAAGTGACGTTGGTGAGACTTGGTGGAATTTCAATTGTCCAAGAACTTCTAAATACCACTTTACCATGTTCAGAGTTCGTGATACCATTGATGTGTGAGTTTGCACTCAATCCGACGCTAACGAAGCATGTTATGGACGAAAAAACGGGACTCGTACGTAACTACCTAGAATTGTTGATTGACCCGACATGGCAAGCCAACGCATTGGACTCCTTGACCACTTTACACGAAAAGTGCGGCGATGACAGAATTGCACAAGCCATTCTCAATGACAAGTACCACTTTATCCTACAGAGTTTCCTTGTTGAGCATACTCTAAACTATGAACTCTACATGGAGAGACTTGTCAGGTTTTTGTCAACCTATTCCAAATCTATTGTTGTCAACCAGATACGGTTAGCCTACCTCAACGATGACCAGATCGTTGGCACCATCATCACCAGAATCGGCGAATACAAATCTGATTTGGTGATACTCATCGACTTGTTCAAGCTCCTCAAGATCATCATGCTGAACAATGCCTATTACTCCAACTACGATAGGATTATCAACTTCCTCAAGTCATTGAAAAAAACCAAAGTCCTCTTGGTAGATCAATTGATTAATGAGATATTATCCTCCGACTCTGAGAGTACTGGCACCATCATGAAACCACCCTGTTCTTCATAAATAGCTAATAAACACATGTTAATGGTTCCCTTGACACATAGTGTGGACTGGTGCGGTCCGTACCAAGAAAACTTTTCGAGACAAATTTTATATTTTTTTGTGCGATGAGATGAGCTTTCCCTTGTCCATTGGGACATAATAAGCCATTGATACTAGTTATAGAATTGGATAATCATGGCTCCTACTAAGGTCAGAGGTACCAAGCGTGCTATTGCTGGTGATTCGGAGTCGAAAAAGAAGCTCAAGCTTAATAAGAAGCAAGCTGCGCCTGCTGAGTCCGACGATGTGAGCAGCTCCGAAGATGTGAGCAGCTCTGAAGATGAATTGGACAGTGATTCAGACGACTCCTTGGATCAAAGCTCTGATTCTGACGATGAGCTTGACGACAATGAAGACGGAAGCTCAAAACAGGAAGACGACTTTGTCCCACTCGACGCTGCTGATGAGGAAGGCGAGGAAGGTGAGAATGTTGACCCAAACAAGAAATCGTCAGCTGAACAACACGCTGAACAGAAGAAATTACTTCAGGAAAGAAAGCTCCAGAGAAAGTCTGGTGCTGAGGTTCAGCACATCAAGTCCTTGTGGGAGCGTCTAAGAGTTAAAAGTCCAAAACCTCCAAAGGATCTCCGTGAAAAGCTCTGTGAAGAGATCTGGAAGTACTCCAAGGATGTGATTAGAGATTTAGTCTTGAAGCATGATGCCTCCAGAGTTGTTCAGACTCTGATCAAGTACACCACCAAGGAAAGAAGAGACGCAATTGCTCTAGCCCTGAAATCACACTACTACGAGCTAGCTACTAGTTCCTACGGTAAGTACCTGTTGGTGAAGATGTTACACTATGGGTCTAAAGATACAAGAGATCTTATCATTGACGAACTCCATGGTAAGCTCAGAAAGCTCATGAGACACAGAGAAGGTGCCTACGTCGTCGAGGATCTCTTTGTCTTGTACTCCACTGCTGAACAGAAGAAACAAATGATCAGAGAATTCTGGGGAGCAGAGTACGCCGTGTTCAAAGATTCAGGTAAGGGAAAGTCCATTCAGGAAGTATGTGAAGAAGCTGTTGAGAAGAGAAATTTGATTGCTAAGAACCTTGCTGGTACAATCACCGCATCAGTTGAGAAAGGCTCAACTGGTTTCCAAACATTACACGCTGCTATGAAAGAATACGTTCAAATCATCAACGAGGAGGAAGCACATGAGTTTATTGAACTACTACACGAGCAATTCGCAGAGTTGATCCACACTCCTGAAGGTTGTGAAGTTGCATGTACCCTTATTGCTAGAGCTAATGCCAAAGAAAGAAAACAGATTGTCAGAGCTTTGAGAGAACACGGCTTGAACTTGATCAAGAATGAGTATGGTAATCTTGTCGTCATTACTCTTTTCTTGACCGTTGATGATACAGTTATGGTTTACAAGGCATTCGAGCCAGACTTTTCAGAGCACATCTCTGAACTCGTTGTTGACAAGTATGCAAGAAGACCATTCCTCTACCTCTTGACAGGACTTGATGGTCGTTACTTCTCTCCAGCAGTCAAGAAGGAGTTACAGAGATATATTGATTTATCCCAGACCACTTCTAAGAAACCATTAGACCATAGAAGAACAGAACTGCTGGAGAAATTTGCCCCTCTGTTCTACAAAGTCATTGAAGAGAACACTGCTGATGTCTTGCAGGAGAACATGGGATCCCAGTTTGTTGGAGAGGTCTTCCTCAATAATGCCCCAACCACCGATTCCCAAAGGGATTCAGCCATTGCTCAGCTCATTGATGCATTCAAGGGCGACCTTGATGACGAGGATAATTTGATATTCAAGCCATTCTCTGTCAGATTGCTGAAGTCTCTCATCCAATGTGGTAAGTGGGATGCTAAGAACAAAAAGTTGATCAAGTTGGACATTCATGGTTTAGGAGAGCAGTTTGCTACCCAGTTTTACTCTGAAGTGATCGGTGAGGACCTCATTAAATGGGTGGAGAACAAGGATACGTCTTTTGTCGTGGTGTCACTGTATGAGAACTTGGATGCCAAATCAGATGTTCATAAAGAGTTGCTCAAGAATACGAAACAGGTTAAAAAGGCGGCCACAGATGACAATAAAGGTGCTCAGTTGTTGCTAAAATTGATCAGCTCCTAGTTATATCATCGTTTAGTATTAAGTAGAGTAACATGCAAATTCATTCTCCTATATTGATAGTACGCCATTCACAACAATAGGAACACTTGTTCTTTGGCTCTTTGGAAAACAACACTATTTGCACCATCCCCGCTGTAATATAACGAGACGTTAATCGAAGCTTGGTCGCTGATGGTTTTGACCTTTGTTGAGCTCAGTTCATCAGGATTGATATTCTTCTGATTCAATCTATAATTTCGACGCAATGTGTTGACAAAATCATTCAAGATCAATATCGAAGAGGCATAATAACCTAATGCATCAACTTGTTGTTGATCTTTAATATCTGCCATCCGATCCATTTCGGTTTTCAAAATCAGTGCATTGTATTGCACAACAAGCTCGAACTCATGAATTAACGTGTAGACATCTTCATTCATCGTGAATTTACACTCAAGAAGATTTTTTGAGAGAAAAGCAACGTAATACTCCATTAACTGCATCTGCTCGCAGTCTTGAAAACGCTTGAGATCAACTGTCTTCGGAAGTTGTTTCAAGAATTTTCTCTTTGCCCCCTTTGATTCTTCAAAGATCTTATAAAACTTGTGAATAATCATTGATTCATCAAGACAGTGCTCTTTCGACGTCGAATATGAGATTTTGAAAGCACCGAAAAGATTATGTGCGTAAGTGTTCTCAACTAACGGTTCGTATTTTTCATGAAGTTCCCTATGAAGACCTTGTCCCACTGTTCTAATGTAAGGATTGGTTGATAACTGAAGATTGATAACTGGTCCAATACATGCCATTGGACTTCCATATCCCATGCGTACCACATACTTCAAAAACTTAACCCCAGTGAATACATCTGCATCAGACGAACCAGACGTACACAAGCTCATCGCAGTCTGTAAGTATCTGTTAGCAAGAGAGGCACAGATATCCTCATTGTTGTTTATTCTCTGATTGTCAGCCATCAAACTAGATTTTTCTGGTTTCTCTTTGGCAGTATTAGTATTTTCTTTAAGGGAATCACTTTCCTCTTTCTCCAAAAATTCAAGCACACCTTGCAAAATGAAGCTTTTGAGCGGAACATCATCGTTCTGCAAGAGCTCAGTATCCATAACATTCAACACCCTGTCATTTAAAAAAAGTTTAGAATGAGTTGTTGCACAATGAATCAAATTTCGGAGTGCTGCCTTTCTGATATCACGATTCACATTAGATTTGGTGAATATCATTATTACCTTTGTGATCAAGCTGAAAACAGTTTCTTTCGGCTTTATCCCAAGCCTATGTTTGACGAATATATCTCTATATTTCTCCAAGTCACAGTACTTTCCAAACGCACCGAGTAAATAGAGTAATCTGATAAGTTTGTGGTCAACATCAATGAGCATATTCTCCAAGACAAGGTCAACAAACGGTAGAACCAATGACAAGCAGGAACAAGCAGCATTTGCAATCTTCACTGTGTCGTTGAGCATAACTGATAAAGACCATACTGCAGGCATAGCTACTTCTAACTCCCTTGTATTTAACTTTGTTAGTCGTTTCAATACAGACGTTTGCGCACTCTTCAAGAACGACTCTCGCAGAGAAGATAGGTGGTTTAACGAATTCCTCAAGATTACCCATGAATAATACGACGTAGCAGCTGTAGCTGTCGTGTCTGCAGTGATGTAGGGAAGAAGAGACATAAGTTGATCTTGGCTGATAAAAGGAACGTCAGACTTAGTGAAGATTGAAAGTAACCCAAGACAGGTATCCACATTGTTCTGTTTCTCTGTATCGACATTATCAACAGTGTATGACACAAGACACATCGTCATGACTTGACATACTTGGAGAAGCTCTGTGTGAAATCTCTTGTTTTCATCGTTAGCTTGGATTATATCCTCAAATAAGAACTTTTCGAACAAATCCCAATCAGAAGTGCTCTTTTCAACCAGCTTTCCAATCACCAGCATGAGTTTCATACATTCATCCTTGAGTTTGGATTCTGATTGGTTTGACTTATAAGACGGTCCTAGGAATAGAATATCCATCAAAGTTCCTTTGGCAGACTCAACGACAGATTCCTCATCATCGTCAATCCTTCTCAAGATCTTTTGCAATAGGAACACCTTGCTTGCAGTATCTGAGCTGTCATTGAAAATCCGTCTAGCTATCTTGATCGACCTATTTCTAACAGCCGTCGATTTGTCAGCGGTCAAGATGAGCGATTTATAAAAGTCGCCAATCAATTCCGGTTTTTGCAAAATGTACTGATCAAAGATATCCAACACTGCAAGTCTCACTAATGAAGATGGATCCTTGATTCGATTTGACAACGTTTGCTTCACTGATGGTATATAAATCACGCGGGGATCTCTCTCGATCAACATCGATAAATTTTTGAGTGCTCTGGTTCTCGACTTGATCTTCGGATGATCAACTGCCTTTAATAAATGGTTCAAGAAGTTTTGATAGAGAGATACAAACTTGGATTGTTGAAGAATTTTCTTGTATTCTTCTGTTGCAAGAACAGCCGTTATCTCTTTGTGCTGAATCCCAATCGAATCGTTGGATCCACCATTGTTATACCCAATTATACCCATTAGAGTCAGATAATCATCACTCTGATCTTCTCCCAAATCCTTCTCAAAGAAATTAAGAGATTCCATTAGTTTGATTATCCATTCACTCATGAAAACACTTGATGCTGTTTGCATTTGGTGATTATTCTTCTTTCCTTGCAAGAAGTTTGCAACCATTGTGTATTGCTCCTTTAGGTCGCCCATGGATTTCGAAGGCAGGTCACATGCCCCTCTAATTTCCAACATGGCAGTTCCAATCATTCCAAGAATCTCCAAAAGGCTAGTTTCAACTACTGCTGACTGACCCTCCGTGTTACTTACTAATATTTCCAGAAAACGACAAAGAAGTGCTTCTGCTCCTGTGAATGTAGGTCGTGTAACAATATTCAAAAGATCTGTGATAAAGAGTTCAAGAATAGATTTGAAGGAAGTTGAACTGATTAGCTTTGAGACAAGAGTAGACGCAACTGTCGTACAGAACTGGATCTTTTCATCCCTAACATCCTTCACATACCTAGCAAATCGCTGGTCTTCTGGTCTCCGCCTTGAGATTTCTTCGTCTGTGAGCTCAGATTTTGTTATGGTGGTTTCATTACCATAACATTCAGTCACAGTAAACACTTCAATTAATTGCATAATGACTTTTGTAATAAACTGTATGTGAACACCTTCACCCAAGTTGATATCTCTTGACGACACCTTGTGAGTTGGCAATTTGTCGAAGTTCAGAAGCAATTCATCGATGATAAAAGACCTTTGATCTCTTCTAATTTTGAAGATTGTATTCAATATAGTGAGCGCAGATGACTTTAATGACAATAGTAATCTATCGCACTTTTGGAAAATCATCGTTATACATAAGTATTCCAATTTGGTGATGAGAGTATCATTTTGAGAATTCATCTCAAGTTGATCATTCAATTGGGTTAGCACTTTCGATATTGAAGAGTTGAGCTGTATGATAACATCGCTTATCATCCCTTGTGATATGCTCTTCAAAACGAAATCCTCCGTAAAGGTGTATACAAAGGTGAGTGGTTCCAAGATGTAGTCATCGAGGTATAGCTGTTTCTCTTCCCTCTGCATATTCAATACCGCAAAAAGAAGTGAAACGCTTTTCAACGCATTACCAGCCAATTTGATATAATGCTCACCATCAACCCAATTTACTTCATTTGCGGCCCTGATAGATTTCATGCATAGCTCCTGTATACGTTCTAGAATCCTCAATGGAATATCGGTCTTCAGGGATGTTGGCACAATTTTAGTTATGTAGCCATGAATCTCGGTGATTACTGAATCGTTCAAGATGTTTTTCGAGTTCTCCAGTTCTTGCCATATATCACTTGATTCGTACTCTGCATCTTCATCTGCCAGAAATATTTTTCGTTCAATCAAAAATAGTAACTGCTTTAGAGCCAGCTTCTCAATTTCAAGATGTTCCAGGCTTGTATCTGGTTTCCTCTTCTTCGGTTCCCCTTGGTTCATTGTAGGTGGATTATCTCTTTTGTTTGAATTTGTCGTCATTAAAGGTGAAGTTGATGCTGCAGCTGTCTGTATACTAGTTGAAGAGTGCACTGAAGTACTTTCTGATCCCTGATGAGACCCATTTGCGAAGTATGCCTCCTTCTGCAGTATATTAGGAGTATTATGTGTAGTAATCGCATGCTGAGGTGACCCACTTGGATTGAAGCTTCCGACATCTGAAAATGTGGCATGAGCCTGTTGTATCGGCAGGTTGTTGTATGATATTTGCGTTTGTTGTATTGTATGTCCTTGCGGTCCACTCGGTTGCGTTTGAGCTGTATTGTGAAGTGTCGGTATCGAGCCATTAGAAGCCGGTGGGCCAAGATTGTGAATTGGACCAGGCTGTGCCTGTGTATTCATGACACCCTCCTTAGGGGCCACAGGCACAATCCTAGTCCGCTGAGCTTCGTCACCATGTACAGGCACATACGTGGCTATTTGCAGAGCCTGTTGTTGTATATGTTGCTGATGTAAATGCTTCTCATGAGGGTGTTGCTGCTGTTCAGGACCCTCCTTGCGCTGATGGTGTTGATTCTGTCGCATATACTCCTCACGTTTCTCTTCCGATGCTATAATCTCTCCTTCAACAGAGATCAAAGGAACATTACAGGCAACACCCTTTGCCACGCCTCTCAACCCATCAAACAGTGAGTAAGATGTATTAGTCCCAGCTGGTATGGCGGCTATCTTGGCCTCGTCTATTGGAAACAGATTCCCAACCTCTAAAGTCATGGATTTCACCTCGTTCGCCAGGTTAAGGAAAGACTCGGCCCTATTCCTTAGCCCAGAACACTTTTCATCGTCAGACTCCAGTAGATGCTTCTGTCGTGAGTAGGCCATATACTCTGGCGCAGAAGTCTCATCTGGAATCACAGCGGTATAATTCGAAGGCACCAAATACTTGGTTACTATGGCATAGCCTCTAGTTAGTACCCAGAGCAACAGAAACCACTCGGATCAACCAACTTGAAGTTGCACATATACTTACAATCTCGAACAGGTAGCAGATAAGACAGCGGCTGTCCTGCCAGCGCCTCTATCAGATCAGGAGGAAAGTCAAAGTTATCGCCATCCGCCATGATAAACCCAACCTTCCTAAGAGAGTCGCCAGGTATTTAAGCTCCCGCTTGGGTTGGATCACTGTTTGTTGGAGCCTTCTACTTCTCTCTCTTTGGAAGTTGTTGACAATAAACATCGTGTTCTTCTTTTTTCGCTTAGGCCGTGATGGAACGCGCTTGTGGTGCCGCTGGATAGTTTCCAATCACTGGGGTAACGCGCCATAACAAGTGTGAACTTTTTGGTGTTCGGATGTTATCTGGGACACCGTACGTATTCTTCGAGGTTGACATGTGAAATGAATGTATACTACTCTTCGAGCTATGGTTTTCTCGGTGAATCAGCTGCTGTGGAATGAGTGGTAACTCATCACAATGCTATGGAATCCGTGTCGAATGTTCAGCAGCAAAGTGGTACCCCCGTTGAGCTTCGGCTCTATGGAGTATCAACAGCTGTTTAGAGTCATCGCGTACAATAGTCAATATGTTGTGTTCAACAAGGCACCTGGTGTGGCGGTGCAAAACGATGATATACGTGTACCGAGTCATAGAAGACAGCAAGGTCTCTTCAACTTGCTCAAGGAGGTTGATCCTTCGCTCAGACCGGTTCACAGGCTGGACAAGGTGGTTAGTGGAGGGCTAATCATGGCGAGGAACAAGTCTAGTGCACAGAAATTTTCTAGAAATCTACAAAAGGGTGGTAACTATGGGTATCCATTCATCAGAAGATATGCTGCTTTGGTTAATTCTAAGGAGCTGAAGTATTCTTTAAATGTTCACTTCAATACTGAAACCACGGGAGTCATTACGGTCCCGGTGGAGGACAATTCCAATCAACATGAAACAACAAAGTTTATGATCCCCGGTGAACGCCACAAGGGTCGTTCTCTCATACTCTTAGAACTCTTAACAGGTAAGAAGCATCAGATAAGGAGAGCATTGGCAAGGGAATTCAACTCTGCAATACTGAACGACCGTCTCTATGGGGCCCAGGACTGTTGTGAAGGTCTCAGGGGTTCAATTGCGCTTCATTCAAGCTTCATAAGGACACGGATAGGTCAGACATCGAGAGAGCACTTCATTCCTGTTCAATATGCACATGAACTTTGGGATGGATTCATAGATTCAGAGGGAAACTTCTCTGAAAGGATCCAAGGACTATTGACACAATTCTGGGAATAGTCTTGTCACAACCAGATCCAGTAGCCTTAGAACCAAGTTTTCATTAATCCTCAAGTGTTCTAAGCTGGTTAAGAAATCGTCCAACACATCATCTAGTTCAACTTCGTTTGTAGTTAACAAGGCATAAGAGATGAGTTGATACTTACGACAAACCAACTTCAGCTTATCCTTTGTCGTCTGCCTGATGGTTTCAAATTCCTGGGGTGTTGGTTCAACTCGTGGAGGTCCCATCTCATCATCCTGTGGGAACAGGACATTTCGAGATGTTTTGATTATCGTGGCAACCAGGTGATCTGATCTCATTGGCTTTATCACCAAATTTTGTAAGATGTTGCAAAGAACGTGGTTGGCTTTCTCCATCTTGAGAATTGGTGAGAGGGACTTGAGTGTAGCATATAGCACAGGTCTTGAGCTACTCACTAAGAAAAGATCATTGAGAAAGTGAGCCATCTGCAATGTTACCATTGGCCTATAATCGTTCTTATTCCCCGTGTTTAACGACGTGGAATATGCAATGAAATGGCTAAAGGAAGACATCATAGACTGTAATATATCGTAGTTACTATCCTTTGACGTTGTTTCAGCAGTGTCGGCTGCAGCTTGTGGCTCTTCTGAGAGTAATAACTCACATACCAATGTTATTATCTCAAATATCTGGTACGGTTGGCTCAGCTTATCGACAATGATGTTCAACAGCATATCACCGAGTAAAGAGTTCATGAACTTCGTCACCAATTGCGAGTTCCTCTGTTCCTTTGGAAGTAGGATCTGTAGTATGTTTTTAGTTAGCAACTTGAGGTACAACGCTCTTGCTGCAGTATCGTCAATGTCACTTCCCAACGCTTTATGAGGACATAGATAGTCAAATGCCGAATCGATGGTGTCGAATTGTAAATACGACGAGCCCAACTCCCTGTTGATCTTCCTGTACGCCAGCAAATGTTCATCCAAGACCACCGGGATATCATCAAATACCAATTGCAGCAGATCGACCTGTAGCACCCTCTGTTCCAGATCTCTCGTCACTTGAGAGATCACCTTGATCAACTCCTTCACAAAATCAGTATCATCATCTGTCAGCGAGGTATACCATCTGTTGACAAAATTCCTGAACAGCAGCCCAATAAGGGCATACAGCTCCAGGTCAACTCGCTTGCTCCCTGTCAATTCAGGGAGCACCTCTAAACAATGCGCCTGGCTTGCACCTTTCAACAGATCACGTTGCACCAGTCTATTGAGGTACTCCGGGGAATCCTTTGATAGCTGTGGTGTTTCATTCTGAGGAGTTCTTGGTCTCGACTGAACCAACTTCTTCGCCCTGCCTGTTGATGTCAGCTTAACTATGCGTTGTCTGGTGAGTCTGTGCGCATCGGTTGCCATGTTCAGCCCTCTTTCCGTCCCTCTCTTTGGACCCTCTGTTTACACTCATAGTACTGCACTGCGTTTCCCATGAAATTTTCCGACATCCCGCCTAGAGCTCTGTGTAGCTTTCCCCTGCTAACAGCATCACAGTCAGTAGCAACAGGAAGGGGACGGGGAGTACCATGCCGCAGTCACCAATAAAGACGAAGATCCTGAACAGCTTTGAAGACGACACCACCTTCGGGTTCAATTCGCTCCGTAAAGACCCTGCAAACGCTGAATTCTTCGAAAGAGAGCCGCAATGGCTACGCACAGTGGAGCTATTCTGCTTTGGAGAGTGCCATCACTATCGGGAGCAAGCAGAGGGACAATACGTCAAACTTAGCTCCCTTGCTCTGTTGAAGCTAAGCAAGCTCTCGCTCGTTTCGGAATGCCTGAGAAGTAACGTGAGTTGAGCCGATCTTGAGACTCTTGCTGTGGGCGTGGGGATTATCTACTAACACTGGAAAGACATTGACGTACGACTACCTGAAGGAGCGGTTGGGGATCCATGATAGTACGAACTTGGAGATATTCCTAGCGGAATCGATCTTCCATAGGGTCATCGATGCGGTGCTGTTTGGCGAAGAGGGTGTTGTGAAAGTGAAGAGCTGTATAGGCAGAGACGTTGTTCTCCCCGGCGAAACCATCGATGCTCATTACGATACTACGAGCGTTGAGGGTCTAATAGAGGCACTGCATCAATTCGAACAGAGGGTATTAACAGGTGTTAACTACGTGGATAATATATCTCGTGAATTGAACACGAATACACACGACGAAGCTGAATCGTCATCGATGGCTGCGCCAGCAACAGGTTCAACAAGAAAGAGAAAGATCAATGTGGATTCCAAATGAAGAGAACCACCGCATCATGAGTTCTCTATCCTTGTCTTCTGGAACGGTTGTGCTATCAGCTGGTTGTTATGACCCAAGTTTATCCTTATGGAAGGCCCAAACTTACCACAGTTCTTGATCTTCCGTCTTTGTTTTATCTCTTCAACATCCATATTTTCCTCTTCGGAGTCTGTTCCACTGTCACCTATGTAGTCAAACTTGTTCAAGGATTCAGTATAGAATCTGAAGTCTATCCCGTTGTTATGTGTCTGACCGTGGCCATTCCCAACATTGGGAGTGAGAAGATGCGCTCTAACCCTCCCTAACACGCGATCCTCTCTTCTCTTCCAGTCCTCGTACTTCTCCAGCAGTTGCCTTATACTTGATATTGTCCATTCACGTTTCTCCTGGAGTTCTTCCTGGTCCCTGGTGTCCCTAATGAACGTTATGGACGGTAACGATTTGGCCCAGTCATTCTGTAGCAGCGCGTCCAGCTGCCATTTCAGCTTATCTGCCTCCGAGCAGAAGGACTCACGATCCCTGTTGAGCATCTTCTTCTCCTCTTTCTCCATTCTACGATGGTATAGCTCGTATAGCGTATCATCGAGAGGATCACTGGTGAACTTCTTAGCCTGCGTAGATGCACGGAGTGACCTCCTGCCACTCTTGGTATTCTTCGCTTCCTGGATACCGTCCGAGACCACCAGAGACTTGAAGGGGACTTCTACTTCCAGCTTCAACACTTCACCTGAGCAATGGCCGACACAACTAATCGGCTCATCGGGATCAATCACCTGTGGGTCATCTTCAAAGTTGAACAGCGAAGAATCAATGGTTTTGGCCTCTTCTTTCGACCGAAGTTTCCTCTTGGACTCCACCTCCGTCTGCTCAGACATCGCCGTCCCTCTATCCGCAGCTATGCCCTAACCGCTCAATCACACCCTTTTTGAGGTGGCTCATCGTGGTGATGGGTCTCCCGCCCTGTGTCGTTGGCGCGGTGATGAGAAAAACAAGCCATCATACACACACCATCAACAACAACAAGCACAACACACGCTACGCAATTGGAGGCTAACATGGAGACGCTACAAAAGACGCCGGTTCCATTCGATGACACCTACGTTCTCTACGATCCCACAGACCCGCTGTCCTTTATCTGTGCGGGTTTATCGCTGTTGCCCATCGGCATCCTGTGCTTCTACCTCTCGTGGTTCATTGTGACGAGGGAATTGGAACCGTGTATCATGGCATGTGGACAAGTATTCAACGACGTGTTGAATAACATCGTGAAGAACCATGTGAAGCACCCAAGACCAAGGGTGTTCGAAGGGTTCCAGCAGAACGGGCTAAGGTCCGGGTACGGTATGCCTAGTGCGCATGCGCAGTTCATGGGCTTCTTCTTCACGTACTTGACACTTCGACTATGGTTACAATGGAGAGGCCTGACCACCACGAGAAGGCTCTGCGGCACGCTGGCCTTAGCGACGGTGTCGTGCAGTGTGATATTCGCACGGGTGTATCTTCACTACCATAGCGTTCCACAAGTTGTTGTTGGCACATGCATCGGTTCCTCACTTGGTGTCACCTTCTTCTTCATCGGCACCATGGCTCGCACCACGGGTCTCACCAATTGGGTGCTCTCATGGTCAATCAGCGATTTCTTGAGCCTGAAGGATACATGCTTCTTCCAGCCTGAATCGCTAGCTGAACAACGCAACCAATGGCTTAACAGAAGACAGCAGCAACTACAACACCCATCATCATCTTCTTCTTCATCAAAGGTTGAGTGATGCCTGCATCTAGACTTCCCAATCGGGAAACCCTACCGTTCTCACAAAAAATCGTAATAATGTCTGCATAACCGTCAAACACACACGTAGCGCGCGCTTATACCCGCCCAATTAAAACCCGTAGCGCTGTTTTCAGCTGGAACCTGCCACAAAGACAAACTTCCCCAAAGAGCCCGTCCGCCCACTGCTGCCCCGTCCCCCCTAAAAATTTTTGAAAAAAAAACGCTCCCAGTGTGGGCGATCCTCCAACGAGCGAACCCGGCAGGGAGGGAAGGGGAAAAAAACCAAAGGGAAACGTTCGAAAACACCCACACGAACAACAAACCCTCAACAAACAACAATCAACACATCAATTGTTAGACAATAATGTTCAGATCCACTGCTCTTAGAACTGTTGCTCGCGCTCAAGCTGTTGCCAGAAGAAGCTATGCTGACGTTGCCACCTCTGACGTTTTGAAGCTCTCTTTGGCTCTTCCACATGAGACCATCTTTTCATCCGAGACCGTCACACAGGTGAACGTTCCAGGTGTCTCTGGTGAGTTTGGTATCTTGGCCAACCACGTTCCAATCATCGAGCAATTGAAGCCAGGTGTTGTCCAGATCACCGAGTCCTCCGGCTCCATCAAGGAGTACTTTGTCGCTGGTGGCTTTGCTACCGTTCAGCCAGGCTCCACCTTGTCCATCACCACTGTTGAGGCATTCGAGGCCTCTGCCTTCTCCGCTGAGGCCATCAAGACCCAATTGGCCGAGGCCCAGAAGAACGTTAACTCATCTGATGAGGCCGTTGCTGCTGAGGCTTCCATCCAAGTTGAGGTCCTCGAGGCCTTGCAAGCTATTGCTAAATAGATGAATTGCACTTGATGCTGAAAGTTGAGTCCATTTATATCTACAGTAGTGAACAAGGAGGAGAGACGGAAAGACACATAAAACAAAAGGCACATAAAAGAGAATGAAAGAAGAGAGAGGTACGATTATGAATGAATAATAGGGGAATCCTGCCCTTTTTTCTTTTAGAGGAGGCTCTCTGGATGAGATTTTTCTTTGGGCTGAATTGAAATAAAACTAAATAAAGCCATTATGAAATATTCCACGATCTATTACATACATTGAGATCAGCCATTGTAGAGTGCTCATCGCCATTGACTTTCCCTTCGATTGTACTCTCTGTAGCTGTTGTTGCTAATGTAGTGATGCGCACATCTTTTCGTAAACAAACAACTACACAACACACGAAACTATGGATGTCGCATCAACTCAGAGAAGCACACACACAAGTAGAATGGGAGAAATGGACTCGGAAGATACTCACTGTCTCAATACACCACATACAATCACACAGACTGTGCCCATGGACTCGATTCCAAGCTCGCCAGTAAGGAAGCACGCTACGAAACCACATCTCATAGTGTCATCACCTCCCCAGAGCACGATGGAAAAGTTACAATCAAAGGCACAGGAGAGGTACAAAGGTCTCAGAGAGCCGATGTCCTCGCCGCTAAAGGACAGATCTAAGCATAGGATGATATCTCATGGTCAGAAGTATACGTTACGTGGTGAAGAATACATACCTTTTACCAAAAGAGAACGCGATGAGAGAAGATCCCAACGGCTGTTGGACCGCAGAGGTGGATTGGATACCATGGGGAAGTTTGTTGATACACAGGAGAAGAAGAGATACAACGAGCGTCTACGAAGAGAAGCCGATGCTCATGTGGTTCAGGATTGGCAGGTTGATTCCGTGGTGGAGGAAGAAAAGTTAACACCATATGAGTTGGAGCTGGAGATGATGATCATGAATGAAGAGAGAGCATTGGAAGCAATGATCAATGATCTGGATATATAGCTCACATAATCAGAACCTCAGCTAGTTCAATCAAGATATGCAAAATCCCCAATGTAGAGGAACAAGGGCTTACTCAGTATATCTATATACAGTGCTGGTGATTATTTTATTAATGCTGTAACAGATGAAGAGGTCGTAACAAAGGCGTGAAGAAAACAGAGAAAACAACAAGAGGTGAATAGTCTAAAAAGGAAGAAAACAAAACAGAAGAAGAGAAGAAAACATTGTCAAAGAGAGGGTATATTGATAGCTGATGCTATACAGAAGAAACAATTAAAAAAAAGAGGAAGAGAGAGAGAAGATGGTATAAAATAAATGCAGAGAAAAGGATGAGAGAAATGAGATGGGGGTAACATGATGTGAGAGAAGTAGTATCATCTGGTATAGCAGTCTTGGGGTCATTCAGCTAACCAATGTTGAATCACAAAGTCAACTGAATCTTCTGTTGCTCCCTGGCCCATTTAGCAGTGTCAATGGTGCTCTGAGAGAAATCTGGATGGGTTCTCACCCTCTTGATGAATTCAGTGACCCAGCTTTGGGCGTATGCCTCTTTGATGCGTCCATCTGGGAACATCTGGGCCAAATCACCAATTAATCCAACGGCACTTCTGTTGACACTATCACTAGTGATGAATGCAATGTCCTTTTGAACAGCACTCAAGAGTTCGAAAATCTGTGCCACGTATGGGTAAATTTCATTTGCACATTCATGCAATCCACCAACGATACCAACATAACAGTCCAACACAGATTCAAGAACAGTGGTGACGTAGTCAACAGCTTCTGGCGTACTGTTCTCTGGCTCCATGTTCTGTGCAGCGTGGCAAATGCGGAAAACCACATCCAGGTATGGCTTAAAACCAGCACCAACAGCAGTGGCAATGTCACCAAATGCAGATAGCACAGTTGGCTTCAACTCCTTACGAACATTTGGATTTTGAAGCAGACCACCAAGGATATTCATTAAACCTTCAAAGTATTGTTGGAAAGATTCACCAAGAGAGTGGGAAATATCAGCAACAAGACCAACAGCAGTGTTAGAAACTGGAGAGTCAACTTGGTTCAAAGCGTTGGTCAAGAATGGTAGGAAGGCACTCATGTAATTGTTAAAGTTCTGGCCAACAGCACCTGCAAGGGCAGATATAGCAATGAAGATATCCTCTTCAATGACAGAGTTCTGCTGGGTCTGTAGTAGTTTGAGCAGTAACTCCATCAGAGAATTGGCAACACCAGAAACGTCTGGGCCGATTCTTCTAATAACGTTTGTCAACAGAGCTAAAATATTTGCCTGTAATTCCTCAAGATTGGCCTTATCCTCATTGGTCTGAACTTGAGCTTGAAGTTGTGTAGTGGCATCGATCCTTTGTAAAACAACAGAGCCAACGTTGTTGATAATATCCATCACATCATTAGCAGAGTATTGCACCATTATGGACAATGCCTCATAGGAGGCGGCTCTTGTAGAGTGTTCGTTATCACCTCTAGCAGAAATCTCCAACAAGATTGGTACCAATCCGCTGTAGTATGGAGAAATAATGGAGGTGTCTTGACCTGGTGCGGTTTCGTTCAACTGTTCAACGATGTTGATTAAAGTCCAACAAGAGTTTGTGGAAACTTTTCCGTGGTCTCTCAAACCTTGTGAGACGGCAGAGAGGACTCTTGGAAGGTCAGTATCAATGCTTATGGCATCAATGAGCAAATCAGCAATTCTGCCCACACACCAGGCCACAGTGTCTTTAACTTGCAAATTTTCATCAGACATAAGAGCTAATATTGGAGTGAGAGCCTGTTGAATCAACACCTTCAACTGTTCTCTATCCGGACCATCAAGAATAGAACCGAATGCCATCACAGCAGCTTCACGATCTCTCCAACTGGAACCCCCAATATTTTGTTCGACAAAAGTCAAAGTAGGTTGAACAACGTAGTTTCCGGTATCTTGAGCGAAAAGCGTCAAACAAGCACCTGCAGCCATGGCAACGTTCCATGTATCATCATCTGGGTCGTCGTTTTGCTTTTTCAATAATTGAAACAACGTTGGTAAGATAGTTTCAATGGCGTACATGGCAAAGTTGTACAATTTCAGAGGAGAATCTGGGTATTCGTTCTTTTCCATTGTGATATCGATCTCATTTTCACAAACGGTACTCCAAAACTCAACAGCCATACAAGCAACACGCTCATCCTCGGATTGCATACCAGCAACAGTTAATCCATACAAGGCTTTTTCCATGTAAACACTCATATAGGAATAGTATAAAGCCATGATACGAGCAAGAGCACCAAATGCAGCAGCCTTCAGCTCATTATCATCGGCTTGTGTAGCTTCACAAACCACTTGCATGATGTAATGTCTTTCGCCTTCACGCTCAAAGTTCAGCTTGATAAACTCAAGGGAATCAACAAGTGCATTCAAAGCAGTGAGTCTAACCACTTTAGAAGTCTCTGAGGATTGAGCACCTTGAACAATAGCAATTAAGATACCGTTGGACTGTGCAACGATGGTTGGGTCATTTGGATCAGCAGATTCACAAATGTAACCAATCGTCAATAAAGAAGCACGCTTCACGTGCTCTGGTTTTTCTGGCTTGGTGTTTTCCACAATGAGCCCAATCAACTCAGTCCACTCTTTTCTAGGAAGTTCGATTTCAGCAATAGCAGCCACAAGTTGTGCTGCAGAATTTGCAACACGATCGTTATCTGTCAGCAAGGAGGAAAGAGCAACGTTCTTGATCTCAGCTTTTGCAGCAGTGTCCAAACTGATCCAGCGCTGCGCCTGTTCGCTCTTCTTATGAGAGTCCTTCGATGTGAGCTCGTTCTTTAGAGTGATACCAGCAAGAATTCTCACCTCTGGCTTCAGCGCTACGTTGGCCAACGTCTGTGTCAAGAGACCCAGATACATAACAAAGTTTTCCTTTGCCATGCCCTGTAACTGGGCTTCAGCCTCTGAACGCTGTTGAGCGTTTGGGTTCAAGATCGCATTCTCCAATACTTGGCTAATATCCATCTTTGTAAGTCTGTATCGATTCGTTAGTATTCAAAGATCAAAGAGTCGGATCAAGGGGAAGATACATATGGCGTATACTCTCGATCCGTATCACAACAGCAACAACGGCACAACAGCACCCGCTTCACAGATCAAAATCAAAGAACAAAGGCAGGCCCTGCTGATGAATACAGCACAGTAGAGAACGTACTATTCAGTATCAGTGAAGTATGAAACAGGTAGGATGAAGCTACTTCTTCTGTGTTTACAAAGGTATAAAAGAATGAGGAATTGCTGGCGGTGAAGTTTTTTTGATTCGGCCAAAGGAAGAAAAACACAACAAGCGGGATGGGAGTTCCGACCATGTTGTGATGTTTGTAATTTACCGAAAAGGGTATGTTCCGAGGGTAAACATTTGGTCGTCACGACAACAGGTAAAATTTCGATTCTTCTTATATAGGGCAAATCTATGGGTTTCATTCGACTATGGAGCTGAACGGGTGTGCTATGGTGGAAACTACAATGCAAGATCTCGGAAAGATGGCTGTGTATAAGTTTCTGGTGGAAGTGACTTGGTCTGTGGAGGATTAAAACTTCCTTCTTGCCTCTTTGTTCTTCTTGTAGTGTGCCTTTTTACCAGAGGTCTTCTTGACTTGAATCTCGTCGTATTTTCTCTTGAAGTATTTCTTCGTATCGTCGTCGTACATAACACTCTCCAATATCGTGGAGTGGCGATCTCTGTTTTTGAGTCTTGCAGAGTAGAACTCTGTATTTCCTTCCACTATCGTACCAATCTGGAAAAACTCTGGTACTTGCCATTTATCCTTCTTGTAGTGTCTCTTTGGGTCCAGTGCAGCTCTCATCTGGATGATCTTGAGGTCTCTCTTCACAGAGTCTGTCAGCTCGCCCTTTGGCATATCAAACCACTTGGAACCTGAAGTTGAGGGCTGTTCGGATGCCTTCTTCTTGGTATGCATTATCGGGTCATTAATGTTGATTATACCATCGTTCTTCCGAGCTTTGTGTGCATTTTCCTCCTTAGACAAAGAAGATGTATCCTGTATCTTGGGCAGCTTTGCAATGGACTTCTTAATCTGTGTAAACTCGTCCTCTTCTTTATCATTCACTACACTCTTTGGATGAGACTTTTGCAGCTCTGCAAAGAGATCATCGATGTCCAGATTTTCGTATTCATCTGTTTCTATGACGCTAGGAGCTGTGGATGACTCTCTGATAGGCGATAAAGGCATCTTTGTTGGGCTTATTATCTGCATTTAGCTGGTTGATCAGAACAACTGGCTTGAAGAATTTTTTTCTTTCGCTCTGCTCCCTTCGCTGCGCGATGAGCTGCTAATTCCGAACAAAAAAGAAAAACTATCGGAATATTAACGGCTCCAACAAGGTGCGAGTGATAAATAAAAAGAGGAACCGGGGGAACACCCTCGGATTATCATATATATGATATACGTTAGGTAGTATTTAAGGAAGTTCGTACTTGGATTATCTCGTTTGAAAGCTGGGATTTAGTTCTATATCATCATGTTTTCCTTATGTTATTTAGCCCCCTTTAGAATATAAAATGAACATCTTTAGTTTCTATCATGTGACTGGGGAGTCGAGGCAACAGAGTAGACACGCTTCATCGGATAGTGTGAGAGATTTAACGAAGATACAGAGTATAAAGAAGCTTGAGAATAATCTATGGTATGTGTTTAGTGGGTATAATTTCATTCATGCTCAATATAGACTGCCTTTTGATGATTCTAATTCTTTGTCAGTACTTCTTGAGTGCTCTGTATGATCTCCACACACCAGTTACCATTACTTCACCAAGACAATGTACAAAGTGGGGCATCAATTAACAAATAAGGCTCATTATAATACTCCATGAAGCATGAAAAACATGAAAATGAGATATTTAGAGTGAGTTAGAGAATCAATATTGATTATTATTGATATCCTCCATGGTAACTTTTTCAGCCAATTAATTCTGTCTAATTTCAGATGAACTTTGATATCAATGTTTTAAAATTAAATAGAAGTCCCCAATAATGATTAACCATACTTTGATAATCATAATGAGCATATATAGGGCACATTTACAGAGGTTTATTTAGTTGGTGGTATTTCAGTGGATCTACTAGCGGAAGACAGGTCTGGGGTCCGCATAGGATTAGCAAAACACCCGGACATACGTCGTTGCTTCGGTCGCGCTACGCGGTTAGATTCCGATTTGTTATTGTTATTGTTGTTGTTATTGTTTTGAATATATGGCTCCCGCCAACAAAATGTTGCTGAGGAACTATTTTCCTCCTACTAAATCCTGGATTCTGTAAACAAGTAATCCGTTTACTCGAACCTCAGCCAACTTTGAGATGAGTCACAACTAACATATGGGCGAGAATGATCACCCATTATCATAGAGACTTATAATGTTGAATTCCTTTCTTCTGATTCCCTTTTGTATTGTTATTTCTGAGTATGTTGTTGTTTTGATCTGACCCCTGAAAGGGATATTTGAACACAGATATTAACCAAAGTACAGATATATCATTAGTTTGAAACATATACTGGTGATCTAGTGTCAATCTTGCAGTACCGATCGCCGTGGGACATTTCCGATATCAAAGTTTAGGGTATGTTGTTGATTTTGTCGAAAAGCGTCAAATTTGAAGCGCTAACCAAGCCTTTATTAATCAGTTATACTAACCATACAGCTCTACAACCAAGGATCTTGCATCAAAGATTGTCAATCCTGTGTACTCGATACAGTCCGACACACTTCCCCAGACTTCTAGTTATTCAAGTCCGTTACCATTCCATCACACTTGTTAATTTTGATCCATTTCCCTCAAAGGTGTGTATTTGATTTCATTGGAACAAACCGAATTGAGTGCTTTTGATTTGAATACTAACATCCCAAGTTTTTTTCTCCCATTGTTTTTTTGTTGTTTAAGAACACATTCTGCCATTTTATGGGTCAATGGTGATATATGACAAGATCTTCTCTATGTCTGTATTCATGTTCATACCATGTATCCCTCCACATTCTAAGAGAATCGTTTCGAGCATCATTAGTTTTTTACTAGCGTTGTTATTTGAGTTAGATGGGGGTGCTTGCCTGCCAATTTGAATGTTTGATGTTGATACTAGGCGAGATAGTCCTTCCAACTCCCCATAGAGAGTGCTTTGGATACAGTCTTTATCACTCCCATGGATACATTCAATTCTGTTTTTGCTGGAAGATCATATTACTGTTCTGATATTGGACATTGCTTCAGATGGAACTGTCTACAAATCGCAAAAAAAATATCATCTAGAATAGTTTTATGTGGTTTACCGACGTTCTTATGTGTTTACACGCTTATTTTGGCTCAGACCACCCACGGTTTTTCCTTGCTTTCGTTTCCTCTTCTTAGTCTTAGTGGGTGGCTTGTTTCTGTCAAAATCTGACGCTTCCAAGTGTTGGTGCTCCATAAATGCATTCTCCAATGAACTGTTTGTTAAACTATCCACAGTTAAAGACGATGTGGTGGTTTTGGTGGTTTTGGTGGTTTTGGTGACTTCGGTGACTTTGGTGACTTTGGTGGCTTCGGTGACTTCGGTGACTTTGGTGACTTTAGGTGACATTAGTGACTCCTTGATGGATGTAATATCCTGTCTCATTGAGCGCACATCATCAATTTTGTATCGTTGACAAATTTTCTCCACAGAGAGATCACCGATCACCGATGAATGAATGTACAGAGGAAATTCTCCTTCAAGAAGTGGTGCAAGAGTTTGATATCCGAAAAATTTGATATCAGACTTACTGGTACCTTTACTCTCTTTCCACTTTGTGATACAGCTTTCTATGTCGTTTTCAAACTTCCAATCGTTGATTTTAGAGAGCACAGCCAAGACATGAGGACAATACGTGAACTCTCTAACTTCACCTCTGCACTGGTTACACGAAACATCATCACCATGAATTTTGACGATTACTCCAGCACTGTTCATCAGACTCTTGAAATATTCCTTTCTGAATGGCACATATGATTCTTTGGATCTCTTGAGTGGAACATGACATCGTGTAATGAAACTGAGAAGCTCTTCATCAGTATAGGACACCTTTTTGGAATTCACAAGATAAAATCCATCTTGCTCATCGACTTCAAACATGCTTGACAGATAAATAGCCACATTCACATGAACAACACCCAAAGTGGTCATGGAAACTTTCGACTTGGCATTTAGGTCAGAAAGTTCATAAACAGTCAATTCTTCATCAAGTTGTTGCAGAGCCAGCAGATTCAAAATAATGTTGATTTTATTTGTGCCTCTAAGACGTTTGATTCTACTATTGAACACTTCCACTTGGTTAGACGTGAAAACATCCATTGTGACATTCGCTGTACCATTCAAAAGAGAGCGAGATATCTGATCCATAGTAGAGATTAGATGAAACGTTGTATTCTTGTTTGTTCTTTTATCAGTCACAAAGTTGGCTTTCAACTTTGCAACAGCTTCTTCTCTCACATTTGAATGCTGACTATGGATTGCTGTGTTCAGCCATTTTGAAGCTGCTTTCTTGTATTCGGAACTAGTGCACTTCAGAAGGCTCTGTTTCAGGTGGAAAGTACAGATCGTGTTTGTCATTTCAGGGAAAACTAGCTTGATGGCAAGTCGCGTTCCCTTTTGACCATCTGTAATACATGTCCAATTCTTTATGACCATGCTTTCCACGAACCATGGATTTGCTGATCTGAAAGCAGTTAAAAAGTTTGTCCACGATTGCGCACATTCATTACGACACAACGCAAAAGCCCAAGGAACGGTCCTGTTGTTACCATATTTGCAATTCATGACCAGAAGGGTTGAGAATTTATCATCAGATTGAGCGTTCTTGATTTTCACAAACGTACCATCCAAAGCCAACACTCCAATGGACTTTTCTAAATTGAGTTCTTCACAGAGAATATTCTGGAAGTACACCATGTCAACTGAGGTTTCATCATCTTTCTTATTCTCCAGAAATTCGTCCATGGCTGATGTAAGCTCCGGAGGCACTGTGAAGTTTTCTTCTTCCAAGGAAGAAAGATAGTATACCATCTTATCTTTCTCGACAGCATAAACACTGTCGAGAATACTGGTGTCAATCTCATTCTTCGAGTTCAGGATTTCAATTCTGGAATCAATTAGTTCAGCTTTCAGATCATCGTCATTGATTTTTTTCAATGAGCTTTCAGCCTCTAAATCATCATCAAGTTCATGGTCACAATTGATTGGTTCAACTTCAAAGGGTTCATCATCAGGCAGCGGAATTGGAACTCCACGTTCACCGAAGGTGACACATTCCTGATTTTGCACATCGTCAATAACACTTTCACGCAATGCATGATTTCGTTCAAGTGATTCTGTCATATCAGCTCCACTAGAAGCAAACCAACCATTTTCAAAGGCCATCTTGTTTCCATTGAATCCGACCATGATGCATCCAACTTTATGGAGTGCTATTGCTGTGCTCACTATATCCACATCACTGAATGAATCGTGATAAATCGTTGTCGTTCGAATTGTACGGGACATGGTTTTTTTCAGTGATTCAATAAGTCTGTCTTGATCAATTGCCTGGAAACCGACCAAAGAGTTAATGGTGTCGATGATGCGTCGATCTCCGTTGAAGCCAAGGATTTCAATAATAGTACTGAGTGCTAGATCTTTTTCTAATTTTGCAACAAGATGTTGATTGCTTTCATTGGTGGACTCGAGAAACATATGGGACTTGTGAAGTCCAACAAGATGTAAAATATGGGAAACAATCTTTTGATGAAACACATTATTTGTTAACATGCTGTATCTTTTGAGAAGTTGTACATCAGAACCAAAAGATTGATATTTACTCTCAACGTCTTTGAATTCTTTCGCCAGCATTGTTTCAAATTCGCCATCTGATAACCTGGAGGTGTTGTACCCTCTTTTTGCTCCCTGCTTGATCTTGGACAAAATGAGCCTCTTCTGTCTTTTGATCATATCGTCCATAGTACAGTCATGATCAACATTCATCTTTCTAATCTGTACTTGCCCATGGGAGTTGCAATATTGCACATTCGCTATTACCACATCGCATTGGCAACAAGAATATGATTTGGTCACAGTGAATCTTGCTTTGGACTTATGGATGCCATTTCGATGGTTATTATTCTTATAGAATATTCCGTTGCAGATTGTGAACTTGATGAATAAAGCCATTTCAGCATCATCAAAAGTCTGGAAACGAGCCCCAACTTTCAATTTTTTCAAGAGGTTCCTGTATATCTTGTCCTTTATGATATTCAAGAACGTTCTTCCCGGATTTGGTTGGGCTTCAAGGTCTGATTCATTATCATCATCATCATCAATCTCATTGGAGGATAAAAGGGGGGTGGATACTGGACTTCCTGGAGGATTCACATCATCTGAGTCATTTTCGTCGTCACTTTCAATATTTGGAAGAGTCTTTGAAGGCCTAATATGCACTTTCTTTGCATGTGCTGGTTGATTTGTTGACGATGAGGACTCGCAAGTGGTTGGTTGATGATTTTGCATCATACTTTGCACATGTTTGATCTTTTCTTCCAGGTCTTTGATCTTTTTATCTCTGTGTCTGATCTTTAGGTCTTTTTCTTTCACTATGGCTTTCATCTCTTTGCCCTTCTCTAGGAGTTGCTCTTTCAATATCTCCTCATTCGTTTGTTTAACGTATGAAATCGACGCAGTTGTGTTCGTTGGCAGTGAGGAATCCAGCTTGCCTTCAAGTAACGACAGAGCCATATTCAATAGGCCAAGATTCTTCGTGGATTTAGAGAGCGTGTCTTTACAGGTTCGGATGCCATCAGTTTCCTCCAAGGGCTCACCAGAGCCTTGAATTTGACCCTGGAACACTACACCATTCAGTGTTCCTTGGAAAGTTCCATCAAGTTCTCCACAAACAATTGTTTTTGAAAGTTTTACATCCACAGCCTTCGAGCTCGGTACAGCAATGGGTTTATGGGTAGAATTTATCTCGATTCTTTGGATCGCATCTGATGCTATGTCAGTTTTCATTTGCTCTCTGATGATGATATTAAGGAGCAAAAGCTCAACCTATTTTAACTCTTCATTGTTACTAACCAGACTCAGTGGTATTTGGAATGCTCATTGCTTGCAATAAAATGATGGAATGAACCTAACACCCGGTGGGTGGGAGCTTTGAAATATTGGTTATGTTATATGTGATGTTACTGTTTATTGTTGATGTACACTTAATGTGTGTTTATTCCTTCTGAAAGCATTGTTCTCTATGCGATACCAGGATCATGGTTAGCGTGCCCGTACCGACACATATATGGATCACGTGCCTATCTTTCGCGTTGCTGGGGAACGCATTTTAGGCATAGCGCGTTCGGTGCTTACATAATCGTAGAGTTGGTATCAAATCACGTGACAGTTATTTAATGTCTTGTTACTCCAGTTTATACAATGATTCATCACCTTTGATCTCCAGTGCTATGGACGCATCCAACAACAGCTCCTTGTCATTTATCAAGGTGTCTCTCTGTCTCTCGACATCTTCCAACTGTTCTTTTAACAATTCGTGAACCTCCAAGGACCACACATATTTCCTCTCCAAGTCAGCGTATAGATTAACCAACTCCTCTCTTGATAACTTGTCAATCTCTTCATCCCGTGGTAGAGGTTCTAGTGTCTGTGCGTCTTCGAACGTCCTTGTGGCCTGCTCCATGATCTGCGTCTTAAAGGCAGAGTTGTCGACTCTGTACTGTTCCCTCAGCTCAGCGTTGATCTCAGCGTTCGCAGTACGGCCCTTCTTCCTCGAGGGCTCACTGACAATGTCATCCGCAGTGACGTTGGAAATCTTCAAGAAGTCAATCTTGCGGCTATTGAGCATCCTGTTGAACTCGCGGTCTGATATCTTGGAGAACTTCTTCGGAGGAGGTGCGTTCAACAGTGGCGACGAATAGCGGAATTGGTCCAGGAAGGTGAACCAGGACAACTTGTTGTCCTTGTGCTCCTCGTGCCTGGCCTTCAGGTGCACTTGGAGTTGATCCGCGTTGGGGAACTCTTCATCGCAGTCCGTGACAAAACACGTGAATGGACAGTACTTCACGTGCGACCGTATGTGGTTGATCAGCGCATAGTGGTTCGCCTCCATCTGCCCACACCCTTCCCACAGACATTGGAGGTCCCCTGGGTGCGAGTGCACCTCCGTGATATGTCTCATCAACGCTCTCGGCTCATGCTGCGACCCACACTTCTCCCATTTACACGCCAGCTCTAATCCTGACATTCTCACACACTGTTCTAATCCTGAAGCACAAACACACACACACACACACCAGCTTGCTCTCTTTCCAAACCGGCTTACTCACAACAAACAGCCCGCTGTTGTCTGCTGACGGAAAGAGTACACAACGTTGATGTGGTTTGTCCCTTCGCAAGGGAGGCCAATTCCGACCACTGTGCACGTGATGTCCGACCTTTTTTGTCCTGTCCCGTTTTTTTTCCTCTCCTTCGACGTTGAAATTTTCCAGCGGTCAAGACAAAAGGGACAAACAACTCTTCTCATCATCAACTGGACAAATCTCGAGAGTGGTTATTTGCTTTGATTGGCTACTTCAGCATGTCCTCTTTACAATTACAGATCCTTGAGATCCTCGATAAGGAAGCACAGATCGGCAACACAGCTGAGAGATTGGCCGGCTTGGACTCCCAGACAGTCCAGGCTGCCTTGAACTCGTTAGTCTCTCGTAACAAGGTTACGTATAAGAGCATTGAGAAGGAGCACTGGAACCTCACGGATGAGGCCAAGGACATTGTTCAAAATGGCTCCCACGAGTACAGACTGCTGGAGCTTGTGCTCAAGCTCGAGCACTTGAAGATCTCCGAGGTTGGCTCGCAGCTTGGTCCTAACGGTAAGATGGGCCAGGCCAGAGCCTTCAAGAACGGATGGATCTCCAAGAACGGGGACGAGCTGGTTCTGAACGAGAAGGTCGACAAGGCTCAGTTGCCTCACGACACCACTGCCGAGGAGCTGAAGGAGATTCAAGAGAAGGGCACGCTGTCGGACGCTAAGAAGATCCAAGAGCTGAAGAAGCGTAAGCTCATCACATTGACCAAGATTCTGTCCTTCTCCGTGGAGAAGGGCTCTGAGTTCTCAACGACAATTGAGCAGCTGGAGACCGACATCACGTCTGACATGGTGATCACGGGTTCTTGGGAGAACGCCAAGTTCAAGCCATACAACTTTGCCTCGGAAGGTGTTGCTCCTCCAGCCGGTGCCCTCCATCCTTTGAACAAAGTGCGTGAGGAGTTCAGACAGATCTTCTTCTCCATGGGCTTCACAGAGATGCCTTCTAACCAGTACGTCGACACCGGCTTCTGGAACTTTGACACCTTGTTCGTCCCTCAGCAGCACCCTGCTAGAGATTTGCAAGATACTTTCTACTTGAAGGACCCATTGGTTGGTGGATTACCAGAGGATAAGGAGTACCTGGAAAACACCAAAAAGGTGCACGAGCAAGGTCTGTACGGATCTATCGGTTACAGATACCCATGGAAGCCAGAAGAGACCCAGAAGTTGGTTCTGAGAACCCACACCACTGCTATTTCCTCCGCAATGTTGAAGAAACTTGCTGCTGATCCAAAGCCTACAAGACTGTTCTCCATCGACAGAGTGTTCAGAAACGAAGCAGTCGATGCCACTCATTTGGCTGAATTCCACCAAATCGAAGGTGTCATCGCAGACTACGACATCACCTTGGGTAACCTGATTGAATTCATGGAGTCCTTCTTCGACAAGATGGGTGTCCGTGATCTCAGATTCAAGCCAACATATAACCCATACACCGAGCCTTCTATGGAGATTTACTCCTGGCATCAAGGGTTAGGCAAATGGGTTGAAATCGGTAACTCTGGTATGTTCCGTCCAGAGATGTTGGAGCCAATGGGGCTCCCTAAGAACATGCGTGTCCTCGGTTGGGGTCTTTCATTAGAACGTCCAACTATGATCAAGTACGCAGTCAGTAACATTAGAGAACTGTTGGGCCATAAGGTCTCCTTAGACTTCATCGAGACCAACCCAGCTGCTCGTTTGGATGAAGATTTGGTTTGAGTTAGTCGAGTTCATATATAGAGAAACTACACTGTTATCTGAGTAATGCTTGATTCAAACGTTTGTAATGTACATGTTGTTTTATTCGATCTTTTTGGTGTTAAGCTGAGCCCTCTCTCTCTCTTTCCTTCCTCCTCGTTGCAGTTCATGTGTGGTACTAGTTGATCTAGTGCAAGTTCAGATGAAGTCGTCATCATCGTCAAAGTACTCATCGTCAGATTCATCAGCCAACTGCTCAAAGTTCAATTGGTAACGCAAGATGGCACCGATACCACCGAAACCAGTGACGAATTGGGCACCTTCAGAGGATCTATCAGTGACGAATTCTAAAGTGGCACCAAAGTTCTTGTAGTTCTCAGCCAACCATTCCAAGAGTGGCTGCTCAGAGACGAGCTCCATCTGTTCACCGGTGTCTTTGTCCAGTGATACGCTCTTGTCCTTGTTATCTGGCGCAACATTGACGACAATATCACGGTCTTGTGAGTCCTTGTAGACATAACGGATGATGTCCAAGTTTTCGTAGACAATGACGATTTCACACGAACCAGCCTCCAAGGCCTTCAACGTATCGCTGACACCATAACAGAACTTGCCGGTGTCCTGTGAGATCTCGTCAAAGAACTGTGTGATAAGCTTCTTCTCCTGGATGAACTTGACGTTGGCCAATGCCTCAGCAGACAGCTCAATGGCTTGGTTGAACCCGTTTTCACCACCGTACGAGATATCCACAATCTTGACAATCTTCTGTTGCAATCTCAAGTCAAACAGGTCAGACTTGGCCAAGTCGGTCTTGAAGTCTGCAGAACCAGCAAGGACAAGACCGTTAACGTTGACCTTATCATTGGTGATGAAACATTGAACGGCAACCTCAGCAACCTTTCTAACATAGTTGTGTCTCTTCTCCTCTCTCAGTCTTGCGAAACGCACAGCAGATTGACCACCACGGCCGTGCTTCTTTGGAAGGTCAACAGTGAACTTGGTGATGACGGTACGGGTGTTACCAGATAGCAAACCAAACAGAGAACCGGAACCATCCATGATGATGAAACCGTAGTTGTCATCAGCCTCCAGCAGCTCAGAGAGCGCCTCGGTGTGGAACTTGTTATCACACAGGTACAGCTTCGTGTTGATTGGCTTGAAAGGCTCGAAATCAATGTTCAGCTTCTTCTCCTTACCTTCGTCCGTGATGATATCACCACAGTAAATCACCAACCCGTTTGGTGGCACCTTTGTGTACAGCTTCAGCTTCTGCTGAGTCGACGTGATCGCCGAAAGCACCGACAGTCTGTTGACACGCGACTTGATGTTCGACGCAGTACCGTACTCATCCGTCAACATCTTGGTGTAGAAGGAAATCTGGGACTTTGGTGGAATGATGAGCGAAATCATAGAGGTACCATTACCTCTGGCCTGCTCAAGAGACTTGATAAGCTTCTTGATCTTCCAGATCTCAATGTTCTTCTGTGCCTCGTCCTGAAGTTGCTGATCCATCTTGGTTTCTAAATCGTCAACGGCCCTTTCTAACCCTCGTTCTCCAAATAGTTGCTTCCATCTTTGGTGTGTGAATGTGTGTGCTTTGTTGGCTTTGAGCGGTGATAGAGGGAAAAAATTTGCATGATGATATTTACGCTTGGAAAATTTCCACGGCGCGTAACTCTCAGCACAGAGGTATACACACTTGTAACCAGGGTAACTGTAACGATGGATTGATTACGTAGACATTGTTTCTAATATACAGAGATTGGGGTTGTAGGAAGGCTCACTGGTCTTTGTTCCAGCTCAGCTTCGAGACGTCTCCGAGTTTTCTACGGAAGAGGAAGTGTACCACCAGGAAGCCCAGCCCGACAACGAGACAGATGACACCGACAACGATCCAGCAGATGCCCAGGAAAGGGTTACGTCCTCCAATGACCGATCTTGTTGTTAGATAGACGGCCTTCTTACCGTTGAATTCGTTCACGGGCCAGTGCATCCCCACGGTCACCTGGTAGGTGCCACTAGGAAGCACGTCGTCGTCGTTCCGCATCACCATCTTGGAGAAAGTTGGCAGTCCCGGAGCTTGCATCCAGTTTTGGAACTCCTGCCATGTTGAGATGTCAGGCATGTTCTCCTCTGTGTATCCGTCAGGGTACATCTTGGCCCAGTTTGGCGGTGGAACCACCTCTGATGCGTTGTACTTGGTTTTCTTGAATCTGTTGTGGTTGGTGGACCACGCGATGCCCTCCGTGGTCATCTCATAGTCCGTAGTTGTGTCATTGACGCCGGATAACGATGAAAACGTGTCGTTGAACATCGCATTCGCAATTAGACCACATGGATAATACTTGACACCGTCGTCGTTCTGACTCAGAGGGTCACAGTTTTGGCCAACGGTGTCCTTGATCGTACTCAACGACGCAGCATCACCGTTCAGCTGGTCCTCGCTGTACGATCTGGCATAACGACGGTGGTTTGCATAGAAGTTCTCAACCTTGTACAGGTAATACACCGCAGGCCCGATGTCGTCTGGGATTTGGAACTGCAGTTCACAGGTTCCCTGTTCAGCAGTATCGGTCTCAGACTCGTTGACGACATACCTCCACTTAGGCACTATCGTGACAGCGTCGTGGAAGTGTGCCTCGTACTTATCACTCGGCATATCGGTGAAGTAGTCAAAGTTCGCCAGCTCCTCGCAGTCGTTGTAGTACAGCAAAAGCTCCTCAACCTGGTTGGACCCGTACAGCATGGCAGCGCCCAGCGGGATCAGAAACACCGCCAGGCACACGAAGATGGGGATCACGTACTTCGGGGTGATGATCGGGTGGAACGCCTTCAGCTTCTGTTGCGTGAAGTTGTTCTCCTTTGGTCTTCTCGTCTTCTCCTTCACAACATCAATCTCTTCATCGCTGATGGAGTCGGTATCGCTCTCCGGCTCAACAGGGCGCTCCGGTCTCTTGAAGATGTTCCGTGCCTTGAGCATGTTCTCACAGATCGCTTCTGGCGGACGTGTAATGAGTAAAAGCGCACGAGCAGCTGGTGGTGTAGGCAGAGCAGCTTCCCTGGGAGTCTTCACGGGCTGAAAGTAAACACGGTGGAAAACTTTCGGGGACCCGTTCCCTTTGTTGTGAGCCTCTTTGTTCCGCCTGCTTGGGCGTGGGAAAACACGCTGCCCGGCCGAGAGAGCAGCACAAGGGTTTCGGCTGCGGGGCGTTCCGATGTTTACGCTGGGCGGCGGGAGTGGCGTAAATCACAGCACGCCTTTATTCTCTCGCTCGCGCTCTCTGCTGGGCTCTCTGCTGGGCTCTCTGCGTACGTGAGCGTAAACCGTTGTAGATAGCACACCGAGAGAGCCTCCCTACAGAGCTTTCCTACAGAGCGCACAGCGGCCAGGGTTCGAGTGTGTGGAGAACCAGTGCAAACATACAATGGCTACTCAGATCAACAACCTGGTTAACTCGTTCAACGTAAGTGTGGTGTGCATCTGTTGCTGAGGCCTGTAGCTGTTTACTAACACTGTGGTGCCATGATGAAGGAATTACTGTTGGAGACGGGTAACGTTCTGGATGAGATGTACAGGGACAAGACGGCCAACCTGATCTTGCCGAGCAGTGGACGGACGCTGACGAAGAAGCTGGACGTGTCGATAAAGACTGTGAACGATAACTTGGATAGCCTGCTTGTGCAACTTAACGACGTTCAGCTTTGGCAGGCGAAGTTGAAGGAGGACAAGGCAGCAGCAGCTGCTGCGGTGCCACAACCTCAACAGTTGCAACCACAGCAGTTGCAACCACAGCAGCAGCAGCAGCAGCAGCAGCAGCAGCAGGGACAGGCCGATGTGCCGTCGATACAGGATAGCGACATTCTGAGCGATATCAACGACTTCCTAGCACAGGTGCCCGATGGTGATCTGACTGATTTTGATGGCAACCTACAGGACAACATCAACGAACTGCTGAACGAGGACTACACCAACATTGTCAACATGGACAATGGGACCGCTGGGAACGAAGACTACACCAGCGGATTCGATAACAACATCTTTGATGAGATTGATAGTATGCTCAACATGTGATTTATTTTAGTTGTGAGGGTTGTGTGGAGTTCAACAACCCGCTAAATGGGTACTTGTATATGTTTCGTTAAACTTGTAGTAGGGTCATAATATGAAATATGGAGCAGGTGGTGTGTTTCCCCTCCGCTTGTTCATCCCAGCTTGATCACCATCACCGTCACGTTATCCGTCGTCTGTTTCTCCATCGCGTAATCCACAAGCGTCTTTGCAGCGACATTGGCGTCCTCAATGCCCTGGATCAACTCGCATGCCTTTTGATCACTAATTACGTCCCATAACCCGTCGCATGCAATGATGATGAACTTGTCTGTCTCCATATCCAACTCCAGGCTGGTGGTGTACGGGTTCCCGATAACCAAGTCCTTGAAGAACTGATCACCAAGCGACCTGGTGACGGCGAGCATCCCGTTGACACGGTTCTTCATGATTAGCCCACCATTCTCCTCGATGCGCTTGATCTCCAGCTTGTCGCTGGCCTTATGGTCGTACGTGAGTCTAACCGCTTTCCCAGATCTAAACAGCACGATTCTCGAGTCTCCAACGTTTGCTGTATAGAGCATACGTCTGTGCTTGTCTAGGGACAACCGTTGCTCATCCTTCACACCGCCCTCGGCCTCCCCGTCTTGAGGCAACTCCCACCGTATCACCGCCACAGCAGCGGTGCACCCGCTTGACCCTCTCACGTTCTTCGCAATCTCACTGTCGGCCTTGATGAACGTCTCGTTCAACAGCTCTCGGACGTCCCGGTTCTCCTCCCGGATCAACTTATCGCCTAGCAGCGTGTGTAGGTGCTGACCGCACCACTTGGCAGCCTCCTTCCCGGCATGGCCATCAAACACCGCAAAGTACCCCCAATCGAGCCTCTCGACAAAGTTCTCAACATACGTGTGCACGTCCTCCATCGTGGGCCTGTACCGCGTGTTCACGTTCTCAGCCACTCCGACGGAATACGTCAGTTTGTACTTTGTAGAGGCGGATGACGACGACGATCGCTTATCTCTGTCAGCATGCGTGCACGCTGTGCTGCTCGACGACTTGGCCTCCAGCAGCTTTGGGTCCGGCTGCTCCTCCATATTCGACTTCCTCCGGCCCTTGATCAAGGTCGTCAGTGATAGCCGTCTGCCGTTGAATTCCAACACCTTTGCTATTTTTTTCTGTCTGGCTCTGCCTTGTTCTGCCTGGCTCTCTGTCTGGCTCTGCCTAGCTCTCTGCCTTGTTCTGCCTAGCTCTCTGCCTAGCTCTGCCTAGCTCTCTGCCTTGTTCTGCCTAGCTCTCTGCCTAGCTCTGCCTGCGAAAATCTTAATCTGCCCTCAAACAGCACAATGGGCACAACCAAACTTCACACACGCCCACAAGCCACTCCTGTGCTTCCCTTCTGATCGCAACTGCAACGAACAACGATACAAACAGCCTCCACGAGTGGTTTCTGCTGTCTTGGAAGGATTTAGAAAGCGTACAAGGAAGAAAGAAAGAAATTGCACGTTCTATGTGGGATTTGCTGTCTGTTTTTATTGTTGGGGCTCGTACAAAGGAAGCCGTGGTGAGAGGCCCAAAAGAGACCGCAAAGGAAGGGAAAAACTTGGATGCGGAGCAAAGTGCGGGACAAAACAGAGGGTCGGGGCCGGTGGTGTGTGGATGTTTCTGCCCCAGGGGCGGGGCAGCGCAGGGCAGTGTTGCGCGGTTGGCAGGGAGGTCACCGGCTGTGCCCAGTTGGGCCTTCAGGCCGTGCGCTGGGCCCCTGGGAGGGGGGGAACGCTACGCTGAGCGCGGGAGACGGTGCGGTGTACGCAGTAGGCAGAGGAGGCTCGAGCTGTCGCGGTGTTTTAGGCCTGGGCGGTGTCCTTAGGCCTGGGCGGTGTCCTTAGGCCTGGGCAGCAGGTACCGACCTACCGGCAAAGTACAGTTACAATACAATACAAACAGAGCATTAGCCGACATCGCATCTATTACTACAAGTAAAGACCCTCGAGCGATTCGTCCACCTTTGTCTTCATGACGTTTTCCTTGGCCTTGATGAAGTCCGCGTTCGTCACCTGCATTCTTCTCTCCCTCAAGGCAATGAGGCCGGCCTCTGTGGTGATGGCCTTCACCTCTGCACCGGAGAGCTCATCCTTTGCGCTGATGATGTTGTCCACGTCGATGTCGCCGGAGAGGGTCATCTTCCTGGTGTGGATCTCAAAGATCTTCTTCAGATTCTCCGAGTCTGGGGGTGGGAAGTGGATCTTTCTATCGATACGCCCAGGTCTGATCAGGGCCGGGTCTAGGGACTCGATGGCGTTGGTTGCCATGATGACTTTGATGTCACCACGGTCGTCGAACCCGTCCAGTTGGTTCAGCAGCTCCAACATGGTACGCTGGATCTCCTTCTCACCGGACGACTGCGAGTCGTATCTCTTTGTACCGACGGCATCGATCTCATCGATGAAGACTATCGATGGCGCATTATCAGCGGCGAGCTTGAACAAGGATCTCACCAACTTAGGACCTTCACCGGCATATTTCTGGATCAGTTCGGAGCCAACCATTCTGATGAAAGTGGCAGATGTGGAATTGGCAACGGCTTTGGCCAAAAGAGTCTTACCGGTACCTGGGGCACCGTAAAGAATGACACCCTTTGGTGGCTGGATACCCATTTCACTGTACAGCTCTGGATGTGTCAAGGGTAACTCAACAGCCTCTTTAACTTCTTTGATCTGCGACTCTAAACCACCAATGTCCGAATACGTCTCCGTTGGCGCAACGGCAACTTTCATAACGTTTACAAGCGGATCGGCATCGTCCTCGAGAACACCCACAATAGCCACTGTCTTGTTGTGCAAAAGAACTGAACACCCTGGTTCTAAGAGCTCCTTGTCGACAAATGACATGATTGTGACGTAGTACTCTGGACCAGATGTGGAACTGACAATGGCATGGTCATCGTCGATAATCTCCTCCAAAGTACCCACAGTTAATGGTGTGCCTCTAATCTCTTCAACTTTCTCACGCTCCTCATTCTGTTTCTTCTCAAACGGCTTTAAATTCTCCATAGAGCTAACGTACTCTTGTTCGATTAGCAAATGATCGTGGATTCTCTGCGTCTTCAACAACTTCAAGTTCGATCTGTTACGTGGGAACACGTCAGGCAGTTTCTCCGCAGTAGATGGGCCGCCTTTCCGTTTCTTACGACCAATTCTCGTCTTTACTGGCGGCTCATATTTCGGTTTCTTTGATTTGTCCTTCTTCTTTCTGTCGCCACCTGGAAGACCTGAAGCTCCTTGTCCCTTCAATCAAATCGACTGTTAGTAGCCATATACAGCCATCGTGATAGCTCAAATGCAGCAATCATCTGTCTCGGTGATCAACTTACCATCTTGTATTCGTTTCACTTGCTTTGTACCGCTAAGAATTGGAGATTCCTAACGTGTTCTTCAAGAAAGGGACTTCTTTGTTGTGGTTTCATTGAACTTTGACGGCGATAAATCATCGGTACGGCCACATCTTTGGCCATGTGATTAATCACGTGAGGCTTCTACTTTTATGTATTAAACACTCACTACAAATGAATAGCTGGAATAACGTGGGAAGAGGGTCACAGAGTTATACAGAAGTTGTTCATGGCCTTACCATCGTGTATCTTCCTTTTGCTGTACTTGGCTTCTTTGTTCGCACCTTCGCCCGTCAGTTGGAAACACATATAGACCACTTTCTTAGCCTCGTGATAATTCGTCATGTTGAACCCTTGGGACTGTAGAATCTCTTGGAAAAGCTGTTTGTCGCAGTATCTGGAGTTTCTTATACAGCTGAGTGGTAGGACAACGAACAGATACCCATTTGGCTTCAAGAAGGGCACGAATCTTTGGATCATTTCACCCCTTTTCTGAGGAGTAGATACAAAGTTCAACACCAGCGAGCACGAGATGATATCAAACTCCCCCTGTGCCGGTATTGGACGCTCCATAAAGTCCTGCTTCAGTATACCTGGCTCGTTCGAGTTCAGATCTATCCTCGTGGTTTCACAGTACCGTGATATCACATTCTTCGTCGAAAGGCATCCAATTTCAAGCGCTTTCAACCGACATTCACACGTCTTCAAGTGAGGGACCGCGTCAAACAGCCACTTGGACGAATCGCTACCTCTCTTGTTCTCCTGGCCGTGTATCGACGCAATCTGGTACTTCTGGAGTCCGCCCTTCTCGTGGATCTCATAGTCAATCTTTCTTAGAAGCCTGAACAGGGACTCTTTGTCGAGCCTACTAACACCCAGCAGCTCGTCCTCTTGTGGACATTCCTTCACCTCCACTGATTTGTTCCATTGAGAGACGTTGCTGTCGTCTATAGCAGTCCCCATAAGCGTGCTTAGCCTTTGATACGCAGCATCCTTCTTCGTTATCAGCAGATGGTACCTCCTTATGATCCTCCTGGTGTTCTGCGGCTTGATAGACGGCTTCGAGTACGTCTTCCCTGTGATGGATTTAGATCGCTTGAGAAATGCCATCGCTGTGACGTTGTCCCTCCTCTCTTTCAGCCCAAGTTGTTTATGTCCTTGTTGGAATTTTCATGCGATGAGATGAGCTCTCGAGAAGGGAAAAAACCACTAGGAAAAATTTTTAGGAGCCCTTTGGTACTAAACACGAGACATCAACACGTATCAGAGGTCAAGGATGGTATCTCAGAGGCTTAAGAAACTCGTCAAGAGTAAGAAGGCTGCAAAGGGTGCGAAGAGTGTCTCTGGCAAAGTTGTGAAGCCGGCGCCTAAGAAGAAGATCGTTGCCGCTGATGCGCTGAACTGGAAGACCGTTGATATTCCAGATACTCTCGATGACTTTGGCGGGTTCTACGGGCTGGAGGAGCTGGACGGCGTTGGTGTTGAATATGTTGATGGTAAACCTCAATTTGTGGTGAAGGGGAACCAGGAGGCTGAATCGAAGGAGAAAGGCGATGTGGCGGCTGATGACGATGTCAAGATGGAAGACGCTGTGAAGGAAGCGAAGTCGGCGCCTAAGTCGAAGCCCAAGCCAAAGAAGATTGAAGAGCAAGAGAAGATTCTCTCTGATGGTATTTCATTCAAAAATGCCCAACTGCCAGAGGAAGAGATTGAGTTGCCTCATTGGTCAAGCCTTAACCTCTCGCCGTATACACTGCAAGGATTAGCCCATTTGAAGTTTGAAAAGCCTACGCCTATACAACAGAAGTGTATCCCATTGGCATTGCAAGGTGACGATCTGATAGGTAAGGCATCTACAGGTTCCGGTAAGACGTTGGCGTATGGTATTCCAATCCTGGAGAAGCTTGTGTCTCGATCATCTGAGAGCACGTCACCAGCTGGTGTGATCTTTACGCCAACAAGAGAGCTCGCACATCAAGTTATGGACCATCTCAATAGCATCTCCAAGTACTTCCCATTCACACAATCTTCGATCTTATCCTTGACGGGAGGTTTATCCATTCAGAAGCAAGAAAGACTGCTGAGATATCCCGGATCTGGTCAGGTGATCGTCGCCACACCAGGAAGATTCTTGGAAATCTTGGGGAAGAATGAGCAGTTGTGTAAGAGGTTTGCCAACTTGGACACTTTAGTACTTGATGAAGCTGATAGATTACTCCAGGATGGCCACTTTGACGAGTTTGAACAAATTTTGAAGATCCTCGCAACGAACAGAACCAAAAAAGAAAAATGGCAATCCTCTGTGTTCTCTGCAACTTTTGCCAAAGAGCTGTTTTCCAAGCTGGGTAATGTGTATAAGTACAACCCAAATAAGAAGGACTCTTTGGAGGATGAGAACAAGCAGATCGTCGAATTGTTACACTCCAAGTTGAAGTTCAAGTCAAAGCCAACGTTCATCGACTTGAATCCAAATTCAAGACTGCACAAGGACATTACAGAAGCTGTTGTGGAATGCTTGCCCGCAGAGAGGGACTTGTACTTGTACTATTTCCTGTTGATGTATCCTGGAACAACATTGGTCTTTACAAATGCAATCGACTCTGTGAAGAGGCTCGTGCCACTGTTGAACAACCTGAACATCAAGACCTTTGCTATCCATTCAAACATGATTCAGAAGCAGAGATTGAAAAACATTGAGAACTTCAAGAAATCGTCGCAAGATAACTCCACGCAGTCCACTGTGCTGATTGCCTCGGACGTGGCTGCTAGAGGATTGGATATTCCAGGGATTCAACACGTTGTGCACTACCATTTGCCTCGAAGTGCCGACGTTTACATCCACAGATCTGGTAGAACAGCGAGATCTGGATCCGAAGGTGTGTCTGTCATGATTTGTTCTCCGCAAGAGGCATCGGGGCCTTTACAAAACCTGAGAAAGGCTCTCAGTGATGACAAGGCGAAGTTCAGAGGGAAGGCTACAAGACGATGGACAAAGGACGTTCCAAGGCTCCCTGTGGAAACAGATATCATTGCGCAGTTGAGGGACCGTGTTAAACTCGCCGGTGAATTGGCAGACAGCGAGATCTCTTCCAAATCCCTCAGCAAAGAGGACAACTGGATGTCAAAGGCCGCGGAAGATCTTGGGCTCGACCTCGACGACATGGAAGGCGAAGACGAATTCCTCAAGAAGAACAGAACAAAGAAGGAGAAGAAGCAGCTCGACAAGCAACAGCTCTCTGCAAAACGCTATGAGTTGAAACAGCTATTGTCCCGTCAGGTGAAAAAGGACCTCAGAAGAAGCTACTTGACAGGTGGATTGCAGAACCTTGCGGACTCCATAGTCAAAGGCGTGGGACACGGCAATATCGTGGGACATGACAAGGTGGATGCCTTGAGGCAACTGAAGAAATGATCCCCTAGATACTATAATACATCTTATGGTGCTCTGGACTGTATACACAAGCGTATTCAATGCTCGCCGTGCAAACCTTACAGGCCTGCCTGGGCAGAAGCGTATGCGCCTTCCCAAGCAACCTTAGGCAGGTGCTGGCAGGGAGCCCCCAGTAGGAGGCAAGGGCCCCAGTAGAACGCGCCGGAAGCCCAAAATAATCCCCCCCCCCCAGCCTGCGTGGGCTACTCATGTCTCCTTCCAGCATTTGCTTGGATCATCTCCATAGGAGCACGCATTCCACTCCATTCCACTCCATTCCGCTCCATTCCACTCCATTCCACTCCATTCCACTCGTCCTCAAACCAAGGCACGCTTCCCTGTATCCTCCACGCGCACAATCACCTCCAATTGGGCATTTTCTGTGCGTTGCGCTTGTCTTAGACCAACTTCTCGGTGTTCGGATCTCATACCAATTCCCCCTGGTGAATGGGACCATTCCATGAATTGCAGGCGAGGCAGCCTCTGTGCGTCTCATTCTATACGCTTGCGGCTAAAAAAACCCTCTCTCTCTCTCTCTCAGAGTTGTTTTTATGACTCGTAGCACCTGTTTGGTGTTTTGAGCCTGTGTGTTCACTGTGGTTCCCCTGCTCTGTGGATATTTAAGGCGTAGGAGGTCTGCTGAGACTGTGTTCAGAACAAGGGAGGTGGTAGGAGACGTTACACACAAAACAGTCAGTCACAGGCGTACACAGGGGCCTGGTTGGTTTGTCGGTTGTTCTTTCCTGTCCAGAGCGCTGTGGAAGGTTAGCAGAAGATGGACTTACTTCCGCTGGAAGCGCTGCTTCCAGAGAGAGAGAACCCACACGCGGTGAAGAGAGAGCCGCCGTCGCTGACGGCGAAGACCAAGACGAAGAGATCCCGGATGGGGTGTCTCAGTTGCAAGAAGCTCAAGATCAAGTGTGACGAAGCGAAGCCGTCGTGCGAGTATTGCACGCACACAAGCAGAATATGTGTTTATCCTGTGGTTGTTGATAAGAAGAAGCCGACGAGGAAGAAATCTGGCCTGGCGGGATCTCCAAGGACCCCCGACGTGATCGACTTGTCGTCGCCGTTCATCGTGAGCCTGAACTCGATGCAGAAGCAGATGTCCGTGTCAAGGTTCGAGCTCAAGCTGCTGAGGTTCTACATGGATTTCGGTGGCGGCCTGTTCACGGCGAACAAGTCGTCAAAGGTGAGAGCGTTGTTTGATGTCGACGCACCAAGGTTGTGGCAACAGTACGAGCTGGTGAGAAGTGCCATATACTCGTGCGCAACGCTCTATCTGTGGAAGTTTTATGAGATGAACTATTTATCAAACGTTTATCTGACAGAGGATCAGCACCTCGTTTTGCAGTCATGCAGCGGTGGAACAGCAACCAATAGTCTCTATAACATCACGGAGAACTATCTCATGAGTACGATGAACTTGATGAAAGAAAGCATTGCGAAGCTGCACACGGATGTCGATGAGGACACGGTCGGCGCGCTCATGCTTTCCAATGTCATGATGTTTGCTGTGCTGAGCATCCATCCGATGTCTCCTGCTATGCTTGTGAAGTACCATGGCTCAAGCAGTCTCATGAACGATATCCTTGAAATCAGCTCAGGAATATTCCAGATCTACAGATCTCGGGCCAAGATGTTACAGGGCTCAAGATACAAGCTGCTCTTATATGAGGACGAGCTGAGTATCGTGCCACCTCCGGGTCAAGAAACATTATTCCCCTTTGTTGCTAACTTGAGGTCCTATCTGAACAACGTCGTTACCAGTATCGATGGAAACTTCACAGCATACCACCAGGCAGTCAATGCCATTGACGACTGTTGCTATAGGGCTTTGGCTTTTAACTACGTCTTACCCGTGTTACGTGGTATGATGGTGTTGGCAGACAACATAAACTTCGTCTCACTCATACGTTCCAGGGACTTCATCGCCATGAAGATCATGTACACATACTGCTGTGTTGTTTCGATATGTGGAATCAAGATGTTCCACGATGTCAGCGTCTGGAACTCTTACATCGAGGAGTTCAAGGTCAATTCGGAGCTCATGTTTGGTGGGTTTGAGGATGACTTTGACAGATGTCTCTACCACCAGGTACAACAGAGGATTATGTTCAGAACAAGAAGGCTAGGAGAGGAACAAAAGGTGGCTGGCAAGCCATTCCTGGATCCTAGAGAACTGAGGCTTATCGGCACGACATTGCCTTTGGAGAGCGAGATGCCATACCAATAGTACGAATATCTTCCATTAATAATCGCTATTCAGCAGTACAATACAGCCAACTCGTCAATTGAACTGTAGGCACATTCCACATATGTACAACGTGTATAGCAATTCTTGGTTTAATTTGAATTCCAGGCCATGGGTTGGCAAAGGTGTATATGCGGAGACCTGCAAAGTTCCTTCCACTGGGGAATTTGTTCAATAACGGCAGCAAGCATAGTGGAGTCGTTCCCTTGAGAGTCACCGTGTTACACGTTGCTAAGTCATTGACACGGTGTAGCCAGTTGTGCTGAACCTGCTTGAGCCGGGAGCAGCACTAAGTACATAATTTATGTTCCCTTAGTAATAACTAGAAAGACTTCATGGCATCTATTTAACCGTGTAGCAATATTGACTTACGTGTCTACCTCGGTGAACTCCTGACTGGTTACAGAGAGTATCATTGATGCTAGCCTTCAATCTGCTACTACTGCTATGTTACAGGAGGACATGGTTTCAGTTCTCATTGATCTAGAGGTCTCAGACTCCATATCTCATGTTGCACTATGTCTAGCAACCCTCTTCAGTTTAAATGTGGGCTCTTGGGAAAATATACACATTCCACAGCTTCACAGAATAATACACAATAGCCAATTGACATCAAGGTTGTATTTACGAACGAGTTTAGATGTCTGCCTCCTTACTTGTCTACATTATTACGTCGATTCCCCACAATCTGCTCCAGAGATATGATAGTCCTACAGTGTTCACTATCTTTGGAAGGCATGACATATTCTATACGTCCCCCCTCACCAAACCACACCTTCCTACATGTCGCAGTTGTAGCCAAGACGTGTATTAGCGTGATTTTCCTGATCTCCTGAGCTTACCCAGCGTGTAGTAAACACCAATGTCCGGTATATCAGTGAAGAATATGATGAATCACACGGGGCTGTACGAGGCTCCGCAATTGCATGAGAAACGTTATAGATGCGTTCGAAGTTGAAACATAAATAATAGAAAAAATATCTTCACTGTGTAAGAAACACGTTTCAGTGAAAGAATGCTTCTCGAGAGTAATTTCGACAGAGTATGCTATTCCAGAGATATGCAGGTCTTTCATATTGCTGTGCTATCACGTTGTATGTGTTTACAGTGTATGTACCCATGGTAACGAATTCCACGCCATCTCTTGTGGCATATGCCTGACGGATCAAGTGTCAGGTAGCGAATCTCCAACTTATGACCAATGAGCTTTCCCTTTCGAGTGTTAACCATCCACCTCCACACGCAAGCAGTGTGATCTTAGGTGTTGAAGTCTTTGGGGGATGGATAGAGCCTTTGCTGTATCGTCCTCTTGGCTCACGAAGTATGGATAGCCTGTTTACAGGCTGCCAGGCCCAAGATACAGTACCAAACTGTCTACTACATGGAGTAGTTTTAATTACCTCTCGCTACCTACCTCCACTTCATATAGACATAGGTTAGTGATCTCGTTGTGTTCAGTTATCCATGATGCTTCACCGGTCAGAATTCGAGATAAACGACATCACAAGCAAGCTCGCGTGGCGTAATGGCAACGCGTCTGACTTCTAATCAGAAGATTCTGGGTTCGACCCCCAGCGTGAGTGCTTACTTGTTCTTTTTTTTGATCTCATGCAATACACGCATGAGAACGCATCGTTGAATGAATCACCGAGATAAATACTGTATAACATACAGTATAACCATGGTGAATATTCTTGGAGAATAATTAGAATTATACTATATCGCATGCGATACTTTTCTTCTCGAATCTTAGTTGGCTGAGAGAAAAGTTGCACTCGGCAATTAAACAGTGAAGTTGTCCCCTTCCAGATAGAAATACTGTTGATCCAAATTCATGATGATATGTCATCCAGCTCGCATGGAAACCAGGTTATCTTCTCGTTTGTTATACATGCAGGAATTGAGTACTTCGAGAGAGGTTATCGAGTTCTCCCGGTGAGTTTTAATTGAGTCTATTCTATATTGTCTCCTGGTTCAGGTAACAATAGGGTAATCGCTTGGAGAGGACATCATGTTGTTTGATCGTTTACAGTTAGTAACTGAATACACAAGGTGTCATAGCAGGAGGCCATGAAGAGATTAAGAATTCCACTAGTTGTGTCTGGTGTCTTCTCCAAAAAGGTTTCTGTTTCACGTGAAGTTTCCTGGTGAAAAGTCCCATAGCTTCATGAGCGTTGTTCTCCTTATCAGTAAACTATCTCAAAGTGTTGGATCTCGAACTAAGTACTTATTCGAAGATCCGATCCGTCTCTTCATTGCTTTTAGGAATTGCACCAGTAGTGCTTTCGTTCTGCTCCCACATTGGAAGACTACTTCGTTCTAGTGAGATTTCATTTGGGGACTCTATCAGGAATATTCAGTGATACTTTTCTATACATGTTCAAAATAAGGATACGGTTTACCTTCTTCGATGTACTTTTCCATATCCTCAGTCGTATGACAATACCAGCATGATTGATTCATCATCAGCGAAATTATACTTGTCTTATCTCATTTCAAATATAAATCTGGTGGTTCTACAGTAATTCATTGATAACTCGCTTGAGTCCTTCCTCATGTGTGGGCATAATTTTACTGGTAGAATTAACTGAGATGAAAATTTCCAAGTGACTACCTTGATCCTAACTCATAACAAAATTCTCATTAACTGAGACTTATCCATATTACCTGAAGCTAAGCGTATTCAATGAAATATACCAGTAATGAAAAAACAACGATATGATAAGTGCCCAAGTGAATCTAAAACTATATCTTTTCTCAACTATCTGTTATAATGCTACACATCATCTGGAACATCAACATAGACGACCCCGTCAGCCATGAGGTCATAGAGGTATCCCCAACTACTATACCAACTAGTTTGATCACAGTGCAAGTTGGACATATAGGTGTGGCATGACTATGGACGTTTAGAGAAGCAACAATGAACGGTTACTACAATCACTATACAGAGCCAAACTCGATGATACTTCTACCAGGTTAACAGGCTACAGTTATGAGTTTCCTCACTTACTCACTCACATGCACTCCTTGTATGGACTATCATAATGGACCTGAATATTTATTATATTATAAACTCAGCTCACTATCTAAAATTCTCCAATAAATTTACGATTCCAGTTTTCTTCTTAAAAAATAGGCATACAAAATTATAAAAGAATCATCAGTTATAGATCAGAAAACTACAATTATTTCCAAACATTCCACATCAAGTCATAAACCACATCATACAACTATACCTATCCATACTCCCAAGAACAAGATCCTTGTCTATCCAAAGATATAAGTCCCATCCTAGCCTGTATGTCCGGATGTGTGCTTCTCATCATATGGACACATCAGAGCCACTGGCAGATCTTCAACTTGGACTAGTCACCAAGCAGACCCCAATTGATGGAATGCGTGCCAAACCGCACTCAAAACCATCTCCTTCACCAACAATTCGGGACTTTAAGGTGTATAAATGAATCCCTACCTGGGTCACTCGAATGAAGCCTATGAACCAAACTGCTACCTGAGATCCATCACCGCTGCGCCTGCTGCGCCTGCTGCGCCCGCCGTGCGCGTAACGGTTTCCGGAAACTCTAACTCCCCAAAGCTCTAAACTGGCACGTGACTTTTCGTGACGCTGCTCCCAAAAAGAAACAAACAAAGTTAAGCTAAAGGGACAAAAAAAACTTTCCCATGCACCGACGATCTTCAACCGTTGAGCATCTTATTTTAGAGCTTTATCTAGGTCATTATCATTTGAAAAGCCCATTCCAAAGCTTTGCAACGAACTGCAGAAAACCAACGAGAAAAAGGAGGAATGTCGGAATCAACCCAATCAAAAGTGATGCAGATTAGATGACACGCCCAAGTAGAAAGAGCCATCGGCACACAGCGATATCAATGCGTCTACCTACACGGCTGGGCAGTGCTGGACATTTTTAGAACTGCGATGTCGGTACAGGACAAATGGACAAATCCAACATATTTTGACGGGCTTTGTGCGTTGCCCAGGGGATGGGAAAAATCTCAACAAATTTCCTGCACGAAGAAGTTATAGCTGGACATTTGCAAGTAGCAGAGTGGAAAAAACTTCTGTATGGGCAAAAAATGTAATTGTAGTTGTGTGCTTCACATCGTCTCTTCCTTCCCCTAGGTTTTGTCAGAGAAATCTGTGTGTATTCATTCGCTATCGATGTCTGCTACGTTCGTTTCTGGAAGCAGCGTTCCAGGTGATTCTGGAGATTCATCTGAAGTACGCACAACGAAAGTTGGTAATGTTGCGTCTCTGTCACAGGTTCAGAAGACTGCGATCGATACACATGGTAACGTGTTCAAAGTTCCTGATTACACCATCAAGGACATCTTGAGTGCCATTCCAAAGCACTGCTACGAGAGAAGTCTCGTTAGATCTCTTGGTTATGTTGCCAGAGACATCATCTGTATGACCATCATCGGAAACGTTGGTTACAGACTGATCCCACTTGTTGAGAGCCAGGCCATCAGATTCGTTCTGTGGAACGTCTATGCCTACTGCTTGGGTCTCTTCGCCTTTGGGTTGTGGATTTTGGCTCATGAGTGTGGTCACGGTGCCTTTAGTGATTACACCTGGGTCAACGACACGGTTGGCTGGATCTTGCACTCGTATTTGCTGGTTCCGTACTTCTCCTGGAAGTTCTCCCACGGTAAACACCACAAGGCCACTGGTCATTTGACAAGAGACATGGTCTTCGTCCCTTACACCAAGGAGGAGTATGTCGAAATGAAGGGGAAATCAGTGATCTCAGAAGTTGCAGAAGAAACGCCAATCATGAGTTTCCTTACGCTCATCTTCCAACAGATCGGTGGTTTGCACTTCTACCTCCTCACCAACGCAACAGGCCAACCTCACCCTGAGTACTCTGCACTTGGTAGATCCCACTTCAACCCATCCTCGCCAATCTTTGAGAAGAAGGAGTACTGGTATATCGTCCTGTCCGATATTGGTATGCTGTGCACCTTTGCCCTTGTCTACTGGTGGTCCAAGACCTTCAGCGCTTGGTCTGCTTTCATCAACTGGTTCGTCCCATTCATGTGGGTCAACCATTGGCTGGTCTTCGTCACCTTCCTGCAGCACACAGACCCAACAATGCCTCATTACGATGATTCAGAATGGACATTCGCCAAAGGTGCCGCCGCCACTATCGACAGAAACTTTGGATTTGTCGGCCAACACATCTTCCACGACATCATCGAGACACACGTCCTCCACCACTACGTCTCAAGAATCCCATTCTACAACGCTAGAGAGGCTAGCGCCGCTATCCAAAAGGTCATGGGAGAGCACTACAGATACGAAGGTGAAAACATGTGGCTTTCCTTGTGGAAAGTCATCAGATCCTGCCAGTTTGTCGAGGGCGACAACGGTGTCAGAATGTACAGAAACGTCAACGGCATCGGCATCAAGCCAACAGACTCAAAACTATAGAGACAGCTTGCCGCGAGCCATAGTTATATATTCGACTCTATTAGAAGTGATCTTAAGAGTACAAGTTTGTATTGCCTTTTATACCCGCCTATGTAGCGTTGTTGCCCTTGACAACAAACACCACAAAGAGCTGTGCCGGCCGGCCCATCTCCACCACTAAATTGGGCTTTTTTTAAGGGGAGCTCGGTTTGGGCAAATCTCACACACCTGAAACCACAAACCACAGACCACAAGCAAGGAGCCCGCAATTGCAGGGAAGTAAAGAGGAAAACATCTTCAGGAGAATATGAGTTGGACAGGGTTCAAGAAGGCTGTTTCCAGAGCAGGCACACAGGTATGTGGCGATCTATGCGAATGAAATTGAAGGTTTTGGACATGGCTAACCGGGGATTAATGTGAAACACAGGCGCTTGTGAAGAACACGGACCGTACTAGTGACAAAGACTATGACATTGAAGAGAGACGTTACAAGACGTGAGTATGCACTGTGTGAAGCGGTGGTGAGGCTACTAACTCTCAACGATAGACTCAACACAGCAGGGAAGCAGTTGGAGAAGGAGGCAAAGGGTTACTTGGACTCCATCCGTGCAATGACGAACTCACAGGTCCGTATTGCAGAGGTGATCTCCTCGCTCTATGACGATTCCAAGTCCATGGGCGGGTCCAGTAACGTTGGTAACTACTATTTGCAGTGCGTCACAGAGTTTGACAGCGAGACGGTGAAGCAGCTTGACGGGCCATTCCGTGAAACCGTTTTGACACCAATCACCACTTTCACGCAGTATTTCACAGAGATTGACGAGGCCATCAAGAAAAGAGCACACAAGAAGGTGGACTACGAGGGCGCAAAGGCCAAGGTGCGTAGACTAGTGGATAAGCCTGCAAAGGATGCAGCTAAGCTTCCAAGAGCAGAGAAGGAGCTACAACTCGCAAAGGAGGTGTTTGACCAGTTGAACGACCAGCTAAAGGAGGAATTGCCACAGTTGATCTCCCTCAGAGTCCCTTATTTCGACCCCTCATTCGAGGCCCTTGTGAAGATCCAGATGAGATTCTGTACAGAAGGTTACACCCGTTTGGCCCAGATACAGAACTACCTCAACGAAGGAGACCGTGACGCCTACTCCCAAGGCTTGCTAGACGATCGTATGAGCCAATTGTTGACGGAAATGAGTCAATTGCAAATCACCTCCTTGGGAACTAAGTGACTCTCGTCTTAGTATTAACGAATAGTTTTGTTGTTTCGCCCTAAATTCTCCTGTAGCGCAAATCACTTCCCTTCAGTCAGCGCGCGGGCCCGCGCGGCTTCGGAAGCCCCAGTCGGTTTCAAAATCCCCTTCTGTGAGCCTAAGTATTTTAGCGAGCCTGTGGGAGAGAAGACGCAAGCCCAAAAGGACGGAATTTGGAGAGCAGAGAGAATCCTCATCAACACAAAAAGGGCGGGAGAGAAAAAACATCAAAAAACATACACAGCTCTTCGGGACAGAACGACAAGAAATAAACAACGGCAATAGCGATTGAACACACGGGCGGCTAAGGGAGATACACTGGGCGGCTCTCTCTACACAGGTATTGAAACATAGGTACACATAACAATGCTTGACTTTCTACGGTTCATTGGCTCTCTGCTCCTAGTTCTATGGAGATATGTGAATACGAGGTATATCACACGTCTACGGCACTTGTACGGACACTTGGCGCTTCGAATTGTGAGGAACCAGACCTTGTTTATCATGATACCGCTGACTGTTGGGTTCACACTATCGTACCCTTCACTGTACGCTCTGCTGAGCTCTGGGGAGCAGTTGGAGTTTGAATACATCACAGAGCTATATCCGGCAGCACCCTCAGTACATGCTGTGGGCTCCCTGCCGCAGATGGAGGTGAAACAGATATGGTTTCAGCCCGAAAGCCTAGTGGATTGGGATAAGAGCATGGATCAAGGGGCATTGGATCCCACTTTCCTCCAGGAAGTGCTTCAAGTCCAGGAGAGCATGATGAAGAATATCCCGCAGGACTCGGTCTTTGTCCATTCTCCACTATCGTCTGGGGAGTGGGATAAATCAATCTCACAGAAAGAGTCAATAGGGCTATTATCAGGAGGTGTGAGCGTCAATGGGATAATGAAAAGTGCACAGGCATTGAGGCTATTGATGATGTACACAAAGGATCAGAAGTATGGAGATATCTGGGATGAAAACTTCAAATCCTTGTCAAATAATACAGATGTACACTTTACTTTTGAGCAGGCGGAAAATGAACCTCTGCGCTCCAACTATATCTTGGAATTTACCAGAATGACATTTGCAGATCACCTAATAGTATCTAGTTGTTATGTCTTGGTTGTCATTTATACTCTGATATCTCTCAATAACCTCACAATGGTGACCTCTAAATGTGGTCTCCTTCTTGCATTTGTCACGGAGATGGTGCTCTCAATCTTTTCTGCAGCAACGCTCACTACTGTTTTCTTTACAGAGGTTGATTTTTATGAAATACCCTTGCACTTGTTACCCTTCTTGGTCATCGTGTGTGGAGTGGAAAATATGTTTCGCTTGGTGTCAGTGATATCAGAAATCCCAGGTGAGATGAACGTTGCATACAGATTATCAAAAGGATTGGAACGCTCTGGATTAACTTCAACGTTTGTCATGACGGTCGACCTGTTGATCCTACGTGTATGCTACCCTTATGTCATTCCAAACTCAAAGATATTTTGTGTATTTACAGGGTTTGCCTTGATCTTTAGTCATATCCTACACTTGACTTTCTTTGCTAGCGTACTGAGTATCGATATCCACAGACTTGAACTGCACGATTTAATTGATGATACCAACACCGAATCATCAACATTCAAGGAGTACACACGCAAAATCTCCCTCCCATTTTCGACAAAAATTACAGGCTTTCTTCTTATAATTTCGTTCATCGTCTGTCTGAATTTAAGATGGATGGGTGGGTCGTATGGTTCAACTGACGAGATTAGTGACAGCGCCAACTTTTTAACCAAGAAGGTGTTCAGTGGTGATATAATCCAAGCTATTGGATTGAAAGCTTCACATCAAAAAGTTCTGGTGTCTATTGATGCGCCTGTTACTGCCAGTTTTGCTAGTAATACGATCATGAATGGCTTCAGATTACACACGTCTTACAAATTTGACATCTTTTATATTTTGGAGTTCCTTACCCTCCTGATTCTGACCTTATCATTGTCAATGATCGCACTGAAGCATTTCTCGCCAAATCTGGCTTCGCATGAGGAGGATTCACTGAAGAAGCTTGACGAAAAGGAGCACTCTTTCCAAACTAAGGTACTAAGTGGCTCCCATTTTTTGGATATTATCAAAATTACCACGTCGAGGTCTCCGTTCATCGTATCCATAGGGTTAGACCATAAGGTACTGATTTGGTCTCCCCTATCCCAACCGATTCCAATGCCATCACAACTACCACTCAGTACAGGGCTATGGCCAATCACCAACGTTGTTTTGAGCTCTCATGGCAATTATATTGCAGCCTTTTCGAAATCAGGGGTTGTACAATGTTGGTCAAGATTATCGATGACGTGGATATGGAGATTTGAACTGGAAATATTGAGGAACAGTTCACCACTTGAGGCCTTCTTCAGACACAAGACTGTACCCGCATTTGCCATGAGAAAGAGAAGAGAAATGCTATTGAGCCAGACCGTGGCGTCACCTCCAACATCAAGAAGGAACAGCATGAGATCAATCACATCCCCTCACCTAGGTGCAACTACTGCCTTTGGAAATAATGCAAATGTCACCAACGAATTGGAAGATTTTGTCATCATTTTACAGAATGGTGACCTTTTAACCATATCTTGCCAGGAAGGGAAGTTGACCAAAGAGAAACTATCGAACACCGAATTGGTATCCTGTGCCAAACTAATAACCCCGCGTGTTAACGATCGTTTGGTATCACTGACAAAAGATGGCCAGCTCCTTGTATCTACCGCTGTTAATAACAAGTGGAGATCCCGTTTCGTCACTGTGGAGACGAACAGATTCAATAATCCAAACAGTCTCATATCTGCACCCCAACAACCAACTGCCGATTATACAAGGTCAGAAATTTCCATTGTTCCATTTGTTGGTTTCATGGTGCGTACTGCTGGTACGGTTGCCGAATTAGTTGACGTGCAAACTGGAATCTTGATAAAGTCTTTCTCCATAATGAAGTACAAGAGAGGCTCCTTCTGCGTCTTCCATGACCAGCCTACCCACTGTCGCTTCTGTGGTTCTGTATCTCTTGCCTCATTCTCCGTGGCATACACATTAGCCAATACCAACACCGTTGTCGTACATACCTTCACTGTTGACCATCGGGCAAAGACGTCGATCTGCCTCCGTGTCGAGCGTGACCCTCGTGAAATTAGATGTGTCGGTTTTGAACAAGTCACAGAGCATGTATATCAACGTGAAGATGTGGAAGGTTGGTGCGTTACCGACACAAACCAGGTGATGGGAGTTAAGAGACGCAGTAATGGTGTTCACCAAAACGACGGGCTGCGTCGCAGAAGAGCTAAGACTGATGAAAAGGACTTTGATTTGTGGGAGGGCTGGGTTTTAAAGGCCGATGGAGAGTTTGACACATACGACATCCCATCCTTGGGTAACTCTGAGGGATTATTGGTCAATTCTGTATCCCAGGTTGCGAAGTTCGGGCACAAGTCCATAGTGGTTGCATTTGGTAACATCATGAAGGTCCTATATCTCGGAAACGACGATTTGGTCCATCAGGACGACGACAAGCAAGTGGGCAAGGCCATCAGCGGACTGAGCTTTGTCGAGAAGCGTAGACGCCATCTCGGCAAAAAGAACTCCAGATCTACAAACTACACTGACGTTGATGGAGCTGAGGCTGGTGGTGGCTCAGTACCCCATTTGACGCTTTAGCATGAAGCCCAAGGAGAAAACAACACACCAAGGGCAAAAAAAAACCTGGCAACACCAAGCACCAGACGTTTAATTATCCGACAATCTTAATTTGACATTGTGAAATGGGAAGCGTTAGTACTTGCAGTGCAAATATCCAAGGCTTTGTAGATTATGCGATCTGCGTCCAATGATTTTTGCTGCTACAAAACGGTTCAGCGTTGAAATCCCGTGAAGCGTTTCAAATTTCCGTTTTGGGAATATACGCGCCTTATCGGCCTGGCGGGGTGTCTGGACTTAGTTTCCCGAAACGGATAAAATATTACGATAAGAACGATGAGCATCCATGGACAACGGCCAACCAATTGATATATAAATGATGGTGAGAATCTTCCAATTGGCATGTCTTTGGTTCAGTTCTCTTCCGTCATCATCACAATCAACAAACAATGGAACGTCTTCAACAAATCGCTTCTCAGGCTACTGCTTCTTTGAAAGCACCAGCTCCACCACAACATCCATTGGACCCTCTCTCTCCAGAGGAGATCAGCGCAGTTGTCGCCATCGTCAAGAAGGAGTATGGCTCTCGTAAGATCTCTTTCAACACTGTTACCTTGAGAGAGCCTACCAAGAAGTCCTACTACGAGTGGAAAGAACACAACGGTCCTGTTCCACCAAGAATGGCACAGTTCTTCCTCCTGGAGGCTGGTAAGGCTGGTATCCAGGAAGGTATTGTTGACCTGGTGAACTTGAACATCACAGGCTTGCAGCACATTGAGGGTGTCCAACCAATCTTGACGGTTGAGGATTTGCAGTACACTGAGCAGGTTATCAGAACTGATCCAAAGGTCATCGAGCAATGTGTTCTTTCTGGTATTCCAGCTGAAGACATGCACAAGGTGTACTGTGACCCATGGACCATCGGTTACGACGCCAGATGGGGTTCTGCTCACAGATTGCAACAAGCTATGATGTACTACAGACCACACGAGGATGACTCCCAATACAACTTCCCATTGGACTTCCTTCCAATTGTTGACACTGAGGAGAAGAAGGTTATCTTCATCGATATTCCAGAGGTTAGAAGACCATTGTCTAAGCAGCCACCATCAAACTTCTACCCATCTGATGCTGTTAAGAAGTACGGCTACAGAACCGATGTCAAGCCAATCAACATCACTCAACCAGAAGGTGTTTCCTTCAAGATGACCGGTAACATCATGGAGTGGTCCAACTTCAAGTTCCACATTGGTTTCAACTACAGAGAAGGTATTGTTCTTTCTGACATTACTTTCAACGACCATGGTAACGTCAGACCAATCTTCCACAGAATGTCTCTTGCTGAGATGGTTGTGCCATACGGTGACCCATCTTTCAAGCACTACAGAAAGCACGCCTTGGATATCGGCGAGTACGGTGCCGGTTACATGACCAACCCATTGGCTCTTGGTTGTGACTGTAAGGGTGTGATCAAGTACTTGGATGCTCACTTCTGTGACAGATCTGGTGCCCCATTGACCGTCAAGCACGCTGTCTGTATCCACGAGGAGGATGAGGGTATCTTGTTCAAGCACTCTGATTTCAGAGATGACTTTGCTACCACCATTGTTACCAGAGCTACAAGATTGATCATTTCTCAAATCTTCACTGCTGCTAACTACGAGTACTGTATTTACTGGAACTTCTTGCAAGATGGTTCCATCAGATTGGACGTCAAGCTTACAGGTATCCTGAACACTTATGCTGCCAACATTGGTGAGGTTACTGCTCCATGGGGTACTACTGTTTACCCACAAGTTAACGCTCACAACCATCAACACTTGTTCTCTTTGAGAATTGATCCACGTGTTGACGGTGACAACAACTCTGTTGTTCAAGCCGATGTCATGCCATCTGAGCACCCTCTTGGTTCCAAGGAGAACCCATACGGTAACGGTTGGTACGGTAAGGGAACTGTTTACAAGACCGTTGCGGACTCTCTTTCCCAGGCCAACGCTGCTACTGCTAGAACCTGGGATATCATCAACCCATCTTCTATCAACAAGTACTCTGGAAAGCCAGCTTCCTACAAGATTGTTTCCATGCAAACTCCAATGATGATGGCTAAGGAGGGCTCCATCCAAGCCAACAGAGCTCCATGGGCCAGATACACAACCTCTGTTGTCAAGTACGAGGAGGACAGATTGTATCCATCTGGTGTCTTTGTTCCACAATCCTCTGGTCCAGACATTGGTATCAAGAAGTGGATTGGTGATGGTACCGATAACATTGAGAACACTGATCTCATTCTCTTCCACACTTTCGGTATCTCCCACGTTCCAGCTACTGAGGATTACCCATTAATGCCTTCTGAGCCAATCACTTTGCTGATCAGACCAAGAAACTTCTTCACAGCTAACCCAGCTCTTGATATCCCACCATCATACGCTAAGACCACCTCCGAGGTCAAGGCTGAAGGTGGTGCAACTGAGGTCAAGTCCTTCTTGGACACTACATCTAGATATGTTAGTGACAACAGCACTTCTGCTGGTTCAGCTTGCTGCAAGAAGTAATCGTTTATACATAAGTTATTGAGTGTTTTTAAGTAATATAATATTCTATTTGTTTTGAAGATCTATAGTCTATGCAACCCATTTGCTGTAATTTATCCTATAACAGTAATACGATCCATGGAGATGTTGCACCATTAGGTGATAAGTGCAGAAGTTGTATGCGTGGAGTGCAGTTATCTATACAGGTTGGCTCATTTTGGCTGTACAATGGCTTCCTTATCGAAGTACTTGGCAGAGAGACGCAGCCAGAGTTGAGCTGATATGATCTGGGTGGACAATTATGGTACCATGAGACAACCAAATAGGGACATTGTTATCTGCTTGGATGCCTGATTTTGGAGATGAGTCCAATAGAAGTTGATACACTGTTGAATGTGACGGACCGAACAGTTACCAAGGTGCCAAATACCGGTTCGATATCTCGGTCTGTGGCTTGATAAGAACCTGCTAGTAAGTGCTGATATGCCACGTATTTGTCAGTTTAGCTCATGGCCCTTTATACGCAGGAAAGTATGCCGTTATAGGTGTGGATTGGTGATAGTGTCTCCCTGGAGAGTGAGGGAAGCATGGCGTGTAGTGTACACAAGCGGAGCGAGATTAGACTCCAAGTGCTATGTTCAGTGAGATTTAGCCAGTTAGTAACTGCCGTGCTGGTCAATTGGCTGGACGTTACTTGTTGAACCCTCCATCACGTAGAGATGTCCAATAGAGAGATGATAAATGTACTCGTGAACCTCGATAAAGGATTTTGAGTCACTCGCAGCATTATGTCCAGGGACTTACTACAGCTCAAATATACATAGAAGGATAAGCTGTGGCTCCATGTCTGACTCTCCTGTGCTAGAGTCAAAGAGGAGTTGCACCGTCCAGTGTGCATGGTGTAGTTGATTTCACACAGCGATGCTGAGGCAACCGTCGCCAGCCATAAGAGTACATATTTGCATCATAGTGCTCCATAATTGAGACGACTCATACTGCCAGTGTGTTATTCACGATCTATCGCTGCTTATAAAGATCATTATGAACAAAAGGCTGGCGAGCACCAAGCAAGGAGCTTTCCATTGGTGGTGGTCTACTTTCTACAGCAGCGTTACGGCACACATCACACATCACACTGCTTACCGTAATGCTAGTCTCGCCATTCATCGCCGACAAAAAATTCACTGGAAGTAAATACATACTCAGATGAATCAATTTACCCTCTACTCTCTTCATCCATTTACACGTAAAGCACCCGGTTGTACTTCCCTCCCAGGAAAGAGCGCAGTTCTTACTCTGTGCGTAGCGATGGTTCCCACTGCAGCTTCCATATGCCCACACACCGGCAAATGCCTGCAGGCGCTGCCTTTGACAAGCCTCACTGCGCCTGGTGCCTACTCCTTGCAGAAAGTATATATCCGTTGTGATATTCGACCTTTGGAATTAATTCCGAGTTCATCGTCGATCCAGTGAATGATATTCTCTATGTAATACTCTTGTCAAAGCTACTTTATATTCCCATTGTAACTAGTGGAACTACTTGGATTACGCCATATCAAGATTTGGATGTTGTACAATGATTTTAAAGGAGCTCCTTGAACCATTGTATTTGCTCTTTTTCAAGTTCTTATGAACCAGCCATTTTCTCACAGAATTTTTAATCTATATTGTTTGAAGAATTATCTCATTGTCATTATTTATAAGTTTCGATAGCACATCCTGGGCAAAGGAACACACCACACAAAGGTTATTGGTGGTGAACATATATTGTGACGTCAATATGACTAGCAGACTATAAGCTGAACCGTTAAGCAAACACCCTGTAGTGGGCAGAGCTTGTGTGGGAGTCTCATGGGTGAATGCCATACCAGCAGCGAGTGTTTTCTAGGTAGTTATAGTCATTTATCAAGGATGCCCAACAGCCAATGATTGATATGTTGTAACTTATCATATGGGTGTACTCAGCTAGCCTTTAATTGCGGGCAAGCTTTAATCTGTGTTCCAGGATATGTTCCAGATGGTAATACAAAAACAAGAGGTAGTCAGGGGAAATAAATGCCGTACAATATGGATGTATTATGAATAGTGCTATAGCTTCATTGCTACGCATCAATGACCTTGTTCTTTGGATAAGGAGCGCTTCATTTTGCCTTCCTAGCGAGTCACAATTCCAATAGAGAGTTGTGTTATGATAACAGATAGCTCACGGCATCGTTCAACCGTGTACGGCTACACAATATGCCTCCTCAGAGACAAACAGGTGTCCATTGATATACAAACTAAAGAGCAGCCATCGAATTATACACGGAGAAGAGGAATATTCCAGAGACGGCCAATCCCTGCTGAACAAACTGACTTCACAGAGTATTACGACTTTAGGGCCAATGAGTAGGCCATGCCGTCGTTCAGCAAATGCTGGTAACTGTTCTGAACACTGTTCTGGTCTCAGGAGAAACCTCCTAGCCCATCACGAAGAAAGAGGTACTTCTGGAGCCTGGCAGATCAGTCTGCAAAGGAGAGAAACATCGTGCTTAAGTCAGACTGCTTTATCATGTCCCACATACGCTTAGCATACTTCATCAAGTATCTTGATCAAGAGAACTTAGCTTCAGAGTACATCACTGGAGTGAAAGGGCACATCAGCGTCAGTGAGGAACACTCCAGACTGATTCCAGTGATTGAGTGTCTATGACAATTGATGTGCTTGTTGATCTTCATTTCACAGGGCTTCGGCACTCTTGCAGCTCTCAGATTCACATAGCGTATCTGTGAAGGCATTGCATGGCCTGTGATTCAGTATGCACTTGGTTCTCGGTACACCAAAGAAGAACCACGCAAAAGAACAGCCATCTTCACAGCTTCTGGACCAGCTGGGTTTATCCTTCCCCAGTTGAATCCAATATGGACCACGCAAGCCCATGGATGGTGTTGGAAGGCTGGAGATGGCTCTTCATTGTGGACAGAATCATGGCTTTCACTATGGCCACTTCTTCTTCCCTGATACTCCAGAGACTGCATTGCCAGTCACACCACTCGCAGGAGAAGTTAGAGCTCTGTAAAGCACATATAAATGCCAATGGAATAGAGTGACACAGCCACATTGACATGGCAACATTCAGGCATGTGTTCTGTTCCTACCAGTGGTGTCTGTTCGTCACAACATGGATTCTTTAGACTTATACATGAACAGTTTCTGTACATCTCAGTATTGTACTCAAGAGCCCAGACTATAGTGTCTATCATAGGCACAACATTCCAACAGGTGTCTCTAATGCCAGGGTCTTTAACCGTCTCATATCACGGATTCTGATCGGCCTATCTGGCAGGCGAAGAGTCGAAATTGGACTGATCTGCTCAGAGATAAATGTGTCGATTCCGCTGCTTCGCCTATAACCATTGGACGGTCTAATGAGCTTTGCAAAGAGGACAACTAAAAGCCAGCAATGCCACTCGGTTCTCTCGACTGTGTAGGCAGACTGCTGGCTATGCCATATGCACTGAAGCTATTCGATACAGGTTTATCCGCATAGTTTACCAGAGGTTCAGTGGCATGCCTGGCTACTTCCGTGAGTCTTCTCTTCTATTGCCTTATCATTTCGAACTTTGACCGTTCTCAGGCCAGGAAAAGAGCATATATACAGAGCCTCGTCAACACCATATATGTGATTCCAATTGAAGACACTGGGCCATTGGAGTCCAACTAATAGGACGTGGAGACACAGTGCACCTCTAAAGAAGAAACCTCCATGTTCAGATGAGAAGAGCTCGTTTGACTCATTCCGGAACAGGTGGGTAATGGACCATGTTACGCTCCAAATTTCTGGAATTCCTCAGGCTCAGATACGTATTCCACGCAATGCTGATGAGATTCACCCCCAAGAGCTGATGCTGAACAGGGACAAAGCCCAAGTTGACCAGCTGGAAAGCAGGCCAAACCATCCAATTGGCTTTCAACGTAGGCCACCAGTTCTCCTCCAGCTTCTGCCTGGTCTCTTCAACAGGTCTCGCCTCAAGTACAGACATCACAAAGTAGTACAGAGGGATTCCAACAGGAGCCCACACAAGCTGATCAACAGCCGTCCTGGCAATGGCATCTTTCGTCTTGTTCACAATGGCATATCTGGAGTCGCCAGGCAGATGAATCCTTGCCAGAATCTTATACCACTTATCGCCAATGAATGAAAACACACAGGACCCGTATACAACGCCTCTCAGTGTGCGGTTGATGTCGTAGTCGAAACCAAACGTCTTCACCTTCTCGCCTTGAGCATCTGGGAAGAACACTTGCGCAATGAAATCCCCAGAACCGAACAGAAAGCCCGTCATCAGGGCATTTGTCAGCTTGGGATTGGTCCTTAGCCTTTGCTTGTAGATCGATAGTACGGAAACCATCGGCAAACTGTCCTTTTGTAGGTGGCGATGTGTGCTTGTTTCGGCTTATCGCCTCTTTTGTAGTTGATGAAGTGCGTGCTATCTTGGGCCCTGGCGATTTGCTTTCCCTCGTTTTCGGGACAGGCCGGTTTTGAGCAACTCGTTTTCGGGACAGGCCGGTTTGCGGAAACTCGTTTTCGGAACGCGCCCAAAAACAGGAGAAAAACACCCACGATGCTCAACGCTACAAACGGTTTATATAAAGAGAACTGTATCTATTCGTTCAATTCGGCAATCAACTGCCTGAGGATCCTCAAGTTTTCCTTCAGTTCAGTACACTCATCCTTCCAGTACTCCAGGATCGTGACTCCGTCCATGATGAAGCGTTCCAATCTCTCCTTATCGAAGAACTTCCACCGGAACCTCAGGTAGAACCCCCATACGAGAATGACAGAGGTGAACACCACCTTACAGTAGAACCAACTGCCGAAATGACGGTGTGTTGCCAAAGGAACGTTCAGGAGATCCATGCTCTCGGCACCCTGGTGGAGGACCTCCTCGATGAACGGGCTGTCGTAGTCTGAGACGGTATCGTGCAACACCAAGTAGAAGAGAGGACGGAACATCGTCAGCCTAACTTCAATCAGACGAGTCTTGATGAACTGCACCACCTCGGGAATGCTGCCACACCGTTTCTCCATAAAGGTCTGCAAATCGTCAGAGTCAGATTCCGGTGATTCCAGTTTGGTCCTGTTGCTTGGGGTGCTATTGCGTTCCTGCTGTGAGGGCAGATCCAAGTCGGTATGCTGTTTGGGGTTCTGTAGAGTCTTCTCTGGCTGCTTGTGCTGTTTATGACGAGAGGTGGCCTCCTGCTCGGAAGCCTTTTGCAGAACATAGCCATAAGGTTGGATCTCATCGCCTTCTTCTGGGATGATTTGGGCCAAATGGGACAGCATGGATTTCTCAATCTTGTCCAATTCTTCCACATAGACGGAGCATTTGGTGATCATCTCAGAGATGGTGTATCTGCTCCAGTCCAGGATGTAATTATCACCTTTGAACTCACCAACTGGAACACTCTCATCTGACGAGACACTGATAGGAACGTAGAAGTCATCCATGAGCCTGTTCTCGAACTTACGGAGCATGATTTCAGTGAGGAAGAAGAACCACGCTGCCTCGTCCTTGGAATCCATTGATCCGTCAAGAGGAGGAGTTGGGTAAATGGACGGGAAGGGATAGTTGACGATACCACTCGAGGGAACACTCGGACTCAGCTCCACCCTGAGTTCCGACTCGTACTTGACACAGCAGTGGAAGACCCTCTCTAGCATGGTGTGTTCCTCCTCTGTGAACTTTCGCCCCGACGCCTTATAACTCTCGATGATAGCCATCACCAGTGTAGATGCCTTGAAGATGGAGCTCCACGCCTTCAGAGGCTTCAAGTTATACATCCAGAAGTGTGTTTGAGCCATGTGGAATTGCACCATGTTCAGATCAAAATCACCAATCTTGTACTTGGGAATCGAGTTCAAGAACGCACCTACAACAAACAGCTTATAGGCATACTGGAAGAACGGCTCCTTCTCTTTCAGAGAGGTTCCATACTGTGTCAGGTTCGTCAATGTCAGAGTCTTTGACATTGCACCACATGCACATATCGTCATCAGCAGAGGAAGAGGAGTGTTGTTGTCCTTTGTCATATCCAACTTGAAGATGTTGATAGTGGGGTCGGCATCCACAACGTTTTCAATCATCGTTGCAGTCCTGTACAGCTGAGTTGCATCCACGATAGGACTCTTGTTTGCAACGTTTTCCAGATAAGAAGTGATGTAATCCCTCACTCTTCTTCTCAGCTTGATACCCATCTGTAGCAGTTCATCATCTGAGAAGGTCCCCAGCTGGGGGAACCCTTCTTCGCTTTTGGCTGCTATGAGCGTGTTGCTCTGTGGCATGGTGTACTTATCGCAGAAGATGGGCCACTTCAGAATGCCGTCAGCCTTTGAGAACCAGTTGGAAGTGGACCAGATCGGAGCCTTTGGTTTGGCATCAGCTCCTGACATCTCTGTTAGGACATCAGGCTCCTGTCTTTTACCCCTGTAGACACAGGGAGCACCACTCTTGGTACAACGCCCACACGTTGGCTTCCCGAGGTCACAACGCACTTTCTTCATACGACACGACTCACAAGCTGTCAACGTTCTTCTCTTCGGTTGTGTGTTGATCTTGCGACGTCTCTGGACCGACGAAAGAGAGGTCTGGGACACTTGCACCGGCAGTGGCTGTCCTACTGATATTTGGAATTGCTGTTGAACCTGCTGAATTGGTTGTTGCGGCAGGTGCCGTGGTCCTTGTTGGAACTGCTGGTACTCATTCGAATACATTTGCTGCTGCTGATGTTGTTGCTGCTGCTGATGTTGTTGCTGCTGCTGATGTTGTTGATGCTGTTGAGGTTGTTGATACTGCTGCTGCTGCTGAATGTTCACCTGTTTCATGGCTGCTGCCATGAATTCTGGCTGAGACACAGCAATGGCCTGGAGATTCAACTGCTGTTCTTGCAGATCATGCTGGTATTGCGCATTTGTATACCACACCTCTGGAGCCTGGTGGACATGGCCGCTGACATCTTGTACCCAGCCCGCAGAGACCACAGCTCCAGCAGACGTGGTGTCGTCAGTATGGAAGGTACCGTCATAGCCCGACGGGAAGTCATCTCCCTTCATGTTGCGATCCATGATGTACAAAGCTCAGTGTCTACCACTGGCTGATAGACCACGACTGTAAGCGCAGTAGGGGGAAGGTGAAGCTGCGTATTCGAGCAGTACCTGACAGACACCTGTAGATGGTCTCGGTGTCTCTGATTACAATGAGGAAGCTACCAGTTCTTCCTGCTCAAACTGTACAATCTTTGTTAGCTATCCACAATGACAACTTGGCGATATACACCTTCCAGACGGCCTGTACTCACAAGATCAAATACAGAGGGCGGAACGTATAGGAAACAGCAGGACACAGGCACTTGTTAGTGATAAATGACAAGCACACACTAGCGTCCATGCTCTTTTATCATGTTGAATGCTCTATGAATCCGGGAGCGCTCGAGGCTTTATAGAAATTTACCCGGCCCAGCGAAGGGACGGAACTCTGTGCGCCAAACGAAAAACTCTAACGAGCAGCCCGCAAAAAAACGAAAGAAACAGCGAAAAATATGTTGCGCGAACCACGGTGGCCAGTGGGGTTTTCATCCGCTACCCGAGTAACACAGCACATGGAGGCAGAGGGAGTGTGGACTCTACCGACCCATGCAGCTCCCATCCTTGGGGCGGCTCCTTGTGTGGCATGCACGGTTAACCTTTTCCTGAGCGTGTGAATCGGGGAGTTGGGGATAATCAACTGATACGATAAGGCCCCAGTATGCTTTTCCTTAGAAAAGAGGCTACTGCGAAAGCGATTGGAAGAGGCCGGTTGGTCTATGTTTCGCGCTGCCAGGCCGGGCTGGGCCGCGGTCCACGGAAAGCTGGTGGAGGGTGGAAGACCTTACGCTCCACCCGTGGACGGTGTCTCCTCGTGGCAGTGCGAGAAGCTCAGTGAATCTGCAAGATATAATTAAGTTTTTAGCACCATGCAGTAAAGTTCAGCTTGGTGGGCGAGTTATATAACTCGTACATGGAAGGGATGCCTGTCGCACAAACAGGATGGATATATGCCTGGAAGCTGATGATGTTTTTGCAATGATAGTGCAGTCTCCAGGGACCATATGCCATGCTGGAGGAACGGTGATCTGGTCCTTGAGCTGACGAAGATTACAATCTACAAGAGGATAAATTGAATGGAGTGTATGTACATGCGTTCATGTGCACGCGTGCTTGACGCCAACGGTACATGCCATTGGGCCACTGTGGATCCCATGAATCTGTAATTGGCCGGTACATCATCTTGCACACCACTTCGTAAATTGAGCCAGTGCTCGGTCTGGCCCATTATAGCCATTTCGGGGTTTCCTCATGTCAACGGTTTCGTGTTTGAGGTGTGTACTTTCAACGGCTTCAGAGGAGTCAGCGAGGGAAGGCTGCAAGACCCAACACGGGTAAATCGCTGGAAAACGTGTTCGTTTCTGAGGCGAGTCATAATGAGGGATAGGCAGTACCGGGAAACTTTGGGAACAATTGACTACCAACTGAGTGACATTTCAGCTAATGAGCAGGTTTTGGTATGCACTGCTAAGCCCCTATTTTTAGGCATGTGAGAGACCGTCATGAGTGTGGATATCCTGAATGCTTGCCAGCTTGCAGCTGATTTGTCTTCACCAACTGAGGATTCTGAGATAAGAAGTGAACAGCGTCAACGTAGAAATGAACCATGAACAGCCTCACTGCGGTCTTGAGGCCCGACAATAACATTATATGGCCAACTTAAAGTGTCACAGTCAGGCACATCTTGGACTATGAGTGTGAAAGAACACGTGAAGAATAGAGCTAAGTGTTTACAATGGAAATAAAATTGTTTTATAAGGGTTAATCGGCAGGTGCTCGCTTATTGTGAGTGATATCTTTCAAAAAAACTCACGTAGGAGTCCTGATATGAAAGCCATCAACCAGTGCTTCTATAGTCTAGTCAGCTCTACACAACACGCAGTGTACGTAATCTATGAAATCAGAATCACTTGGAAGTTGTAGTTGGGTTACTCTTTTGTTCATGGTTGTATCTGAAACACCAACTTGAAAAGCTCAGTATCCGACTTGAAGTGACCATGTCTCGTATGAAATGGTACATCGAAGCTTCAGTATTGTTAAGCCAGAAGAGAACCAGGGCTGTGGCATTTACGAACTAAGTTGAGGCCTGACAAGATGTTACATCATTCTGGAGAGGGGTTGCTTCAATGCAATGCAAATATTGAGCACTCATCTCATTTCAATCTTGAACGCTTCTTCTTTGCATTAGAATGTAGTTTTCAGCAATAGTTATACATACGACAGCATGCTGTTACAGCTCCTAGCTAGTTGTAATGTACTATAGATAGAGAAGGCCCAAGTGGTTTCAGGCGGGATACATACTGTAGCTTGAAGATTATTGATAGGCTTGTGTCTCTGTTTGCACCTTATAATTACACTGACTATTAAGCTGAAAACCGCTAGTATAGTGCCCCCCCTGACCAAATGTCTTCATAATGACGAGAATTATTGAAGGTTGTGCTTTGGTCAATTCTTCATTCTAATGATTGTACCCTTCAAGAAATGAGTGCTTTACAACAAAAAACAAGATATAACTGAAAATGAGACCTCTTTGAAACTTATTCGCCGCCTTCAGTGGCTGTTGATCGTAGAATTGCAAGCAACACAGGCCGACGATTATAGTCGGTTCCTAAGTTGCATTTCTGAACTCTGCTGCTTACCACTGAAATTGTTACAGAATGCGATGGCTTATACCTATAGCATAATACTAAGAGCTTGAGACCCCTGTAACATTATATATGAACTGTGAGGGCGACTGTCTCAGAATTGGACAGAGGTTGTTTTAAGGATCAATCCCCCCAAGAACACCGTTCATTACCAGTGAGCTACGCTTCAGAATAAAAGAAATTTGCGGATCGAAGTAGCCATCAGAACAGTTGACTACGCATCGGCCATAAGCCCAAAACCACCTGAAATCGATAACGACATGACAAACAAGTGTGAGGCTGTCTAACAAATCTCGTTTACATTGTTTCGAAGATCCAGGCTCAGAAGAAAGGATACGGGAAGTTGTCATGAATGCATACACCCGCATACCCTCGCATACTGCATGATGCAGAGAGCAACGTAACGACGACAAACCAGTGCAATTTGATCAGACAGGGACCAACATTCAGCTTACGAAAGAAGCCATCAAGCTGTGGATAGAGAGTTTATCAGCTTGTAGAAATAGCGCAAAGGGTTTAGTGAGGTGTTTCAGTCGCCCAGACATTGCTGTGTAATCGGAGAGGTATCCGAAGATGGGAAGAATGAACATTGCAGAGGCTCAACACCTCAGAGGGTACTGCTTTGTGGGTCAGCTGGCTCGCTTTGATTGTTGGTGCAATGCCATTCGATGAAGAAGAGAGACAACTACTTCAGTTCCGTTGTATCATGGTTCTCTGGAAAGTAGGTCAGTACTAGTGGGCGTGGGTTTCAAAAAAAAGGGGGGGGGGTTCTCATTTACCATCATATGTCTCTTCTGTGAAGAGTAGTCCATTAAACACAGCTCCAGACTATCCGTAATAATCAAGACTATTGGGCTATTTAAAGAGTCTGTAGGACCTTATGAAAGATTTCTATAACTACGTGGCTATAAAAGCACATAGTAAGGGCTTTATTTCGCCTTTGGATGGTATATCAAGTTGTGTTTTGCTCTCAGAGAGAAAAGTAAAAAAAAAGTGCCGTTACCTGGAATCGAACCTGGGTCTGGTCGGCCACAACGACCTGTACTAACCACTATACTATAACGGCGCAGAGTTGTCAAGAAAGGGCTTTCATTTTAGGTGTTGTACAGCTGATGCTTACCCCATGGATGAGCTTCCTTAGCAAGTATCACCGTATAATCTGTATTTATGCCTCAGCTCCATGCTATTACAAGCCAGCAATCTTTCGTGGTCTGAGATCCAAGTATGTCTCATGCTCAAACCCGGTGAAACACGCCATCTGGCGATGCTCTTTAACGGTTTCTCCACAACCGACCCTTGAGCTTTATACACACTCTCAGATCATCTGCTAACCTTCATCCCATCTTGTGCTTCTAATACAATGAGTGAATCCGCTCTAAACCATTAGACATGTATTTTCTGTAATCGAGTCATGAGATTTGCAAAACACAGCGATGCAATAGACAAAAAGCAGTCGAATTCTTACCAGAATCTCAAGAATCCAGAGCAATAACATACAGCCTCCAGCTGATCCATATACAACGATAGCATCGTGATGCAGTGACTCCAACTGTACAGACCAGCTCACGTTGTGCTCACAACGTCGGAAGAGTGGACGCTCGTATTGGCGTGAGCACCAGTGCCACCATCGCCATCGTCCGTCTTCTCCTGGAACCACTGCCGGCACATGGGACACAGGTTCTTCGACGTCTCAACTTCAAGCCATTTCTCAATACAGTGCGTGTGGAATCGATGCGTACATACCCCAAGTACTAGTACAAAGGCGTTAGCATCCCGTTACAGGCCATTCGCATCAGCATGGGGGAAAAGACATAGACCGTCACTTACCTAAGGGACATTGATCTCCAGGGAATTTGCACGAGGAACAAGTCATGTCGAAAGATGTCCGACAGATACCACACACCTCCTCCTTGGGGACATCCCACGACCATATCGCCACCCCGTTCCACTTCCTGATGTTCACCTTCATTGTGCTTCGAGTCCTTGTGCTTTGTTTACACTGGTTTGTTTACTCTGTGATAGTGGCTAAACATCGCGAACTGCACACTGTGAATTTTTTTCTTATGGCTTCTTCGATGAGCCTCTGAACAGAGATCAGACCCTTTGCTCGCTCTCTGCTCTCTGCTTCTATACGCTTCACATACAGCATGTCCATCATTATACCAGGCGACTCTGTACAGGTCGCAAACTCCGTGGCGCTGGGTCCTGGTGTTGTCTGCACAAGGAACCGCTCCGTCATCCCAGTAACAGCTGGTATACTTGAAGAGAACTCCAAATCCATCCACGTAGAGTCGAATGGCCGCCGCTACGTTCCCTCAACCAACGATTATGTCATCGGAACCGTCACAGGGTCGTTTGGTGATGCCTTTCGTGTGTCACTGTCCGACTTCACGTTCCCTGTGTCTCTGAGTGCCATGGCCTTCCCTAATGCTTCAAAGAAAAACAGACCAAACTTGAAGGTTGGCTCTCTCGTATATGCCCGTGTGTCCAGTGCAATCCCAGAGATCGACGTGGAGATCGAGTGTTTAGATCCGACCACTGGCAAAGACGGTGGCTTCGGTCTGCTTGAAGGAGGGTACGTCTTTGACGTCTCGTTGGCCTACGCTAGAACGCTACTGTTCAACCCAAATTACCCACTGCTGAACCAGCTTGTCAAGAAATGCCAGTTCGAAATCGCCATTGGCCTGAACGGGAAGATATGGATCAAGACGGATGATCTCAAACACACACTGGCGGCCGCAAACGCTATCAAACAGTGCCAACTTGTGCCGTCATCGGAGTGCTCCAATGTCATAAACTCTGCGTTCAAGTCTCTATCACAATAAACGTCTATTTAGCAAAATATTCCACGGTTACAGTCCAAATTCACCATTTTCTCATAAAGCATTACATCCTGCTCATCAATAATCGGAGTCTCGACGTAATAATCATCAGATTTGTCAATGAAGCCCGCTTCATTCCCGTAGACGGAAAACACCTCCGAAAACATGGATATACTCTCTGGCGAAACGCTAATGCCCCTTTTATAAATCTCATAAGAACCATCATTGCCTTGCGAAGGTTTATCAGTGAATATCTCACTCGCCTCTTCAAGCTCCTTGAGCTGGTTTCTGGACACACAAAGTTCACAAGCCTCAATGGGTTTCTCCTCTTCTTCAACAGGCTCAATCTTGGGGAGGTTTCTCAGTTTCTCAGCTTTACGCAACTTGTGATTGATCGAAGACTGCTTTCTAGACTTGAAGGGAGAAATCTCACACGCCTGTTGAACAGTCATGGAGTCAATCTTATACCTCAAGGTGGAGTTCATATTGATTTCAAAACTGTGTTCGAAGTGAACTTGCTTCCGAGGGACATAGTATTCGTTCCAATAATTATCAAAGAAACCTGGATAAGGATCTAATTTCGGTATAATTGTTCCGTCTTTTGGTATATCGAATGTGTCCTTGAATCGTAACAAGTTGTCCTTTGTCCACCAATAGCGATAGCTGCGCTTGTCCTTGGATAACGAATGTATGTTGTGGAGGTAATAGTCAGTGTTCAAGTCCCAAAGCATGGGCTTACCTTGTTCCCACACATAGTTCCCCAAAAACAGGTTAATAGCTTCTTGCCTTTGCGCATCGATAAACGAATTGCTGTAGAATCTCTTGATACTTTCAATCATATCTCTGGAATGCGACGACCATTGGTTAATCTTCCTGTATGTCTCCATGGTGTTCACCAAATGAGAACCACCGTATTGCAGTGCGATAGTGTCGCCATGGTCATGGAACATTTCAGTAAAGATATTAACCACATCTGAGTCGTAGTCGATGTAAACTTCTTCGATGATACCTAAGGCGTGGAGTTGATAACCAAGAGCTCTTTTACCAATGACAAACTGTGCAGCATTTGTACGATCTAGACAGTCAATACAATTGGTACGGCATATTCCCTCTTGCAGTTTAGTTGAGTCCAGGCTTATGCCGTTGTGGAAGAAATTCGTCTTCTTCAAGGTCTCATCGGCATACCCCTCGAGGAACTCGATAACGTCTTGACCATCAGATTTATTTGCCCGACTCATATCCCATGCGGTGTATGATATCTTTTCACTCACTGGGAGAAATTCATTCAGGTACGTGATACACTGCTCAAATGCCTTTGATAATTTGGATTCTCTCGGTGTCCTCTCCTTCTGCTTCACTAGGTTCAATATCAGAACCGGGGCATCGTATCTCTTAAACAGATCGTCAAAGTGTAACGCTGCAGAGGTGTAGAATGGATCCACAAGATCAATTTCTATTGGTGGTTTGGCCAATTTCAAATTCGGAACTTCTTGACACCAATACAAGGGTATCGAGCCACGATGTTGAACGTAGGATGTATACCTTGGATTGTTAAAGAATCCATATCGACTATCGTGGAAGCTCGTCGTCACCATATCTGATACGATCTGTTCAGTTTCCACCTCGTTAGCGACATTGCCTTGGTTATTAACGCCTCTTTTCAAGAATCTCGCTCCTGCAAAATGGTGAGATCTCCTTGCAATGACTGTTATATAGACTCTCTTGCTGAATATCGCCACATTCGCTTGATCTATAAACCCGTGGATAATAGGTTGAAACCAATCATACACACGGTCGTATGAATCAGCTACAGGCTTCAGCAGCGAGCTGTTCCACATGAATCGTTCGTTGAACTCATCAGGAAACTTTGCACACTGAGGCAACCCCATAGCCTTCTGCTTTTCCCGAAGAATGTTCCGTTGTAGAGTGTTGGTCAGATCATAGGTATAACTGTAGTAGAACGTCTTTGTCAGGTCTAAATTGGCAAATGTCATCAAGAAGCGTGCCTCTTCTGAGTGTTTATCTGGTTTCTTATAGTCCCTTGATATCGGTATCAGCTCTGTATCGTCAATATGATAGATGAGATGACCACCTAACACTGCAACAACCGACCTCTTTGTAACGACACACAGATAGTAGCACTTGGTGAACCTGATAAACCCCAGCAAGCCATATCCTGTGAGCTTCTTATCGAACTCAGGGTTGGCATCTTTCAAGCCGTTGAGCACCTCCATGCTCTCCTTTCTTGTGAAGAAGACGTTATCTTCAACTATGGAGAGAGTGTCTTCAGGAACGGTGAGGTCGATCTCCATGACCCTGAACATGGTTTCTCTTCTGTTGCTGCCCACAACGTAGAGTCTGTTGTCAGTTTCATATATTGTGTACTTTTGCAATGTGATGAGCTTTCTCGATTTCACGGAGTGTTGTTGTTGTTGTTGTTGTTGTTGTTGTTGTTGTTGTTGTTGTTGTTGTTGTTGTTGTTGTTGTTGTTGTTGTTGTTGTTGTTGTTGCTGCTGCTGAGACTCCACTTCCTCCTCAACATCATCTTCAACACTACGCTGTCCATCTTGCTCATCAACCTTCTCCTCTTCCATCTTGTCTGGCCCCGCTAGCTTGCCTTATCCTCAATCACCAGATCAACTTATCAACATATTTTTCTTTGTTTACATCCGTGTACGTACACTGCGTTCTACAGCATTGGGCATCAAAATGGTAAACAAGCATCTATATTAACCAACGCAGAAGAAATATATAACACCACTTGGTGACCAAGTGTGTATGAGAACATTGTAGTCGTTTCTATAACATCGTATCATCGTCGTTGACCCTGTGCCGCTTGCTCAAGATTACAGGCACGAGGCGATGTAGCGGTACTAGGAGACACCTCCAGCTGGGTGTTTGGCATGGCGGGCTGCTCAGAAAGTCTCTGCGGTGACCTCTTGTACTTCTTTTGAGGGCTTCTTTCCATCAACAGCGAGATGGGATCCCTGGAAGGGTCTGCCTGGCCTTGTTCTTCATCTTCGTCGGTATATGGGTCCCAAACGTCTTGAAGTCTCGTGTTCAAGCCCTTTAGATGGCCCACGTCTTCAACAATGGACATATCCATGAGATCAACAGTATCACCTTGAGACTCCAAGCCGTATCTCGAGTACTTGTCTATGATGGCGCTCCATGAAGACGACAGCTTCTTCTTGGCCTCGACATGGCGCGTTTGCAGTTCAGCAGCATCAACATTGCCCTTGCCGCTCAACTCGTCAGTGGTGTACTTTGCTAAAATCGCTCGCTGCTCTTCATACCGAATATCGACATGCTGATATTGTTCGTCATACCTGTCACTATCACTATCACTGGCATCGCTGTACCCGCTGGTCTTCTCATCCGAGCTATAAGTGTTCACCTCCCGCTGACCTTCATCAACTTCAACGTTCCCCTGCTCAAGGCACACAACCTCATGCGCCTCGACTTCGCTCTCATCCACGTCACTTTCCTCACACTCACTCTGAAGGTGGCGTTTCCTTCTATGCTTTATCAACAGCATTGACGAATAGCGACAAGGTGACCGGAGCGTAGCTTTGTTGACACCCCGGAGGGAAAAAAAGACAGCATCAAAACCATCTCGAGAGACAGAAGGAGTAAGTTAGAGAGAGCAACAGTAACAACCCTTCCAGAAGCCAGAAACGGAGCATAGAATAGCGAGAAGGGAGTGCTATTATGTTTCGCAGATCTGTTGGTAACATGGCGAGCTGTTTGAGAGGTTATAGGGGAATGTCCTCCTCCTCTCGAACAGCAAGGTCCTTCAAGTTCAGCGAGAACAAAGGCAAGGTCATCACTGGGACCATCATTGGTGCTACAACATTGGCGTATTTCACCAACGACACTGTCCATGACTCCATAAAGCACACATACCTCACAGCTGGCCGTGTCAACGTTGTTACGTGGGCCACGATGCGATGCTTTTGGGAGTACAAGAAGGTGCTGGGCTCGAATTATGTCTCAGAGGATGAGAGATACACAGCGTTGAGCCAGTGCCACTTGAAGTGTGCAAAGATTACCCTGGAGGCGCTGGAGAAGAATGGAGGCGTTTACATCAAACTTGGACAGCATATCGGGGCGATGACCTATCTATTACCAGATGAGTGGACTTCGACGATGATTTCTCTCCAGGATCGATGCCCTGTGTCGTCAGTGGAAGATATCAACGAGATGTTGAAGCACGATCTGGGAAGATCCATCGATGAGCTATTTGAGGAGTTCGACTATAAACCGATAGGATCAGCAAGTTTGGCACAGGTTCACGTTGCAAAGTTAAGAAGCAGTGGTGAAAAAGTTGCTGTGAAGTGCCAACATCCAAGTCTGAAAGAGTTTGTTCCTTTAGATGTGTTTTTAACACAAACAGTGTTTCAGCTGCTCGACAAAGTCTTCCCAGAGTATCCACTTGTTTGGTTAGGCGATGAGTTGCAATCTTCGATCTACGTGGAATTGGACTTCACTAATGAAACTGATAACGCACGTCGTACCTCTGAATACTTCCAAAAATTCACCAGTTTGACTGCTCTGAGAATACCAAAGATCCTTGTATCCTCCCCTCGTGTTTTGATCATGGAATTCCTACCAGGTGCTAGATTGGATGACTTGTCATACATGAAGGCCAACGGAATTGACAGATCAGAGGTCTCTGCATGTCTGGCCCATATCTTCAACAACATGATCTTTACACCGGGTGTAGGCATTCACTGTGATCCACATGGTGGAAATCTGGCATTGAGAGCATGTCCACCATCTGGGAACAACCCACATAACTATGAAATCATCCTCTATGACCATGGGCTCTACCGTGATGTAACTCTGCAAATGCGTCGTGACTACGCAAGATTCTGGCTGGCATTACTAAAACGTGATAGGGAAGGTATGGAGAAGCATGCCATACAATTTGCAAAGATCACACCAGAACAGTTTCCGGTGTTTGCTGCTGCGATCACTGGCCGTGACATCGACACGGCATTGAACTACGATACTTCTAAGCTTCGTGATGATAGCGAGATTGAGAACATGAAGAGTGCATTGACTTCACAGGGCCTCTTGGTTGATCTCATGTCTATTCTTTCAAGCATGCCACGTGTCGTTTTGTTAATCCTAAAGACCAACGATCTGGTGAGACATCTGGACGAAGTCCTACAAAATCCACAACCTGAGCGTGTATTCTTAATCTCCGCCCAGTACTGTGCAAATACTGCATACGAAGAGGATATGGAACTAATTGCGCAGGAGGAGATGTCGTACTCCAATCTGGGAGTAACGAAGAGGGTTTCTGGATATTTCCATTGTGCCTTTGAGAGAATCGGTGCTGTGATGAGGTGGTATGGATGGTGGTGGAGTTTGAAGGGATACGAGTGGAAACTGTGGATCAGAACACATATTTAAATATTTAACCCGTGTATATATGCTACAACCAAACAATCAAACATTCTTTGTTCTGTTGTGTAGAAGAAGACATCGCATCTCGATGTGGTGCTCTCTGTTGGCTCTGAGTTTTGTTTTCCTTTTTTTTTTTCATCACCCCGGCAATGCTTGTTTACTCCAACCATCACATCCGGTTCTCAGAACAGTGGACAACATCAGTATTCAGATGAGTGACTTTCACACACCGACCAAGTCACACGCTTTGGATGGAGTTGTTGACTCTCCTGTTCTGTCTATAAAGTACCGAGATCTGAATAGTGCTATTGAAGCGATCAGACTGTTGGAGACAGAGCTATCAGAGTTCCAGACTTCGAGTTATGAATTGGAAAAGGAGTTGGAGCAGGAGTTAGATTCACTTGAAAGGGAGAACATCAAGCTACAAGGTGACGTTAAGAAGGCTGAATCAGAGCTATCCACTTCGAGGGAGGAATTTGTGCGTTATAAGCAACAGTCAGAGAATGAAAAGTTGGTGTTTAAGGCGCGTATCAAAGAGCTGGAAGAGGAACTTAACAGGAGACAACGACAATTGGTTGAAAAGGATATTCAAAACGAGAATATCCAGCAAACGGAGAGAAATTTGCAAAGCGATTATGACGAACTGCTCGAAAAGTTCGAGTCCTGTGAGGAAAGGGCGGTGCTGCTTGAAAACGACCTAGTTGATGTCAAAGAACAGCTTTCCAAGGAGATACTATCCCATCAAAACACCAAGAATGAGCTTACTGAGCTGAAGAACAATCCATTGCAAGTGGCTAAAGACGTAAAGCAGTCACAGACCACCTCGTCAAGGACGATGTACCGGTCCAGCTCTCTAAGGCAGCTGCATACGATACTGTCGCAGACTCATAACATGGAGCACAAGCTGGAGAATATCAAACGATCTTTACACTCTGGGAATGCTCAGCGCAAGACGAGTGCCACCACTGGAATCACCAATGTTGGCGTACTATTGAGCACAACGGGGAGCTTTAAAGAGGACCAGATCACCACCAGAGGCGGCCAACGTGTGAGGACAGTGTCTATGCCAACATCAACAGTACTGTCTTCTGAGTCATCGCAAAGCAGGAAAAGGATTCCAAACTCCCCATCTTCAACTGCGCTATCATCTCTTGCAGGTAGGCTCAGCAGTTCACTGGGAACCATTGAGGGAAGCCCCAATAAGGATAGAATTTGAACGCAGTTCCCATCAGGGTTACTGAGATCTCACTACCCACGATAACCACCCTCATCTTTCGACACCCACGAGCATTGCGGAGAAGCCTCAACAAGGCAACGGGCACCCACAGTGTTCACAGACATGTGTGTGATATCAAGACAAATACGCGCAAGGTGCGAGAGAAACGGGGAATCACGACAAGGACCTTGTTCCTTTTATCCATAATGTTGCAAATGAGAAATCATAGGCTCTTGTTACCCTGTGCTGCACAACGTCTTGTTTCTTTTCGTCTCTTGTTGAGAACGGTATGTGTGTCCCTGGGAAGCATCAACACGTACACTGTGCCCTGGTTGCCCCACCTCTTGATGCAACATGCCATTTGACCGTATTCTTGGCTTCAGCACTCCATGCTGACAAGATTTCCACAGTTCCCAGTGGACACTGAACAGGGTGCATCGCTCTACATGGCTCCTCCGTTAGTGTGCTTTGCTAGATACTCGATGTATGCGTCTTCATTTTTTGTTGGTCCCTCAACCGTTGTGACGGCTTAAGGGTCACACATCCATCATCAACCTTTCCTTCTGGCGGAGAAGAGGTATGTTGCAAGTGGCCAGGTTCTTATCTCCACGGCATTCACTGTCGTTGTTGCGTATCTGGACGTCTGCCAAAGGCCCACAGCGGACGAAGGACGAATCAGAACACCACTGGGCGGGCTCTCAAGCGCGCTGATTGGAAGCTCCACGAAGCCTCCAGCCGTTCGCACAGTGGGCGGGGGTTGATAGCGTCAGCCATCTGTCTATTAGCGCTGTCTAAATAGCAATTCACAGCATGGGATGCTGCCAACTAAAATCTACAACCAACAACCCGCTTGGTGCATTGGGGACAGCCCACGTCCAGGAGCCACCCTGCGGAACGTAGCTGATCAACATACGTACCGGCCATATAATGTGCACCTCGAGAAGCAGGCAGGACTCCGACGTAGTTCGTACAACCTGGTGGGCCCTGGCCCTCGAACGAACGGCGGACAGCGTACGAACCCGCTGCGGTGTCCTACGAACCAAGCCATCGCCAGCATAAGGGAGCGCACAAAGAAACAAAGGCACATACGCCAGGACGCCGATGGCCTATTGGGAAAGCGTCAACGGCCCCGACCCCATTGTGCTTGACTTTTGCACGTTGGACTCCGTCCAACAGCATCAACGCCATGGATTAGGTGGATGCTCCCTCTCTCTCCCCCCGCCCACAAGCTCATCCCATGCCACTGAACAAAGCGTATACCCCGCCATGTTGCCCGCGGCCATCTCTGCTAAAGGACACTGTTGTATGTGCGAGACTAAAAGTCGTAATCATCCAATCACCCACAACGCAGTTACACCACTTGGTAAGCCCTCTCACCACGGTGACTGTGGATTGTGGGTCCACCAGTTACCCCACCAACTCTCTGGAAAGGCAAAAAGTCCCCCATTGCGGTGCGTATGCGCTGTACATCTCTTCAGAGAGTGAAAGTGCACGCCGGTGGCACCAGTGTGGGACCCTTTTCTGGGGTAAAAGGACAGCCAACAGCAGATCGATTGTGCTCTCCCACAAGTTTGTCAAGGCGAAAGCCGCTCCATGCCCCACAAAATTTCTTTTTCGTTGCTTGAATGCGCGCTTCTCCAGCGCTGTTGTGGGCTCTTTGTCATGCTGCATTTTGCCCCAGTTACAGTGGTAGCCACTTGTCGTATGAAGGTCGAGTTGCTGGACAAGTTGCTGGTTTCATGTAACACGGCGGTTGGTGATGGCGGTGAGATGCGGTGTATAAATACCGGTCCATCGTCGCATGGTTTTACGTTTGTGCGTTGCAAGATCTCTTGTACCACCGCACACAGAACGCAAATATACTCAGTACGCCTGAACTAGAAAACACGCTGTTTTCCCTGCTGCCAAACATACACACACAGGAGACTCGATACTTTTAAACTTACAAAGCAAACAAGATGGCCGCCAACGTTGACCTTGAGAAGCAAGCTACCCCAAACTCGTCCAATGACAACCACACGTTCAGTCCAGAAGACGAGGCGCACCCGGTGTCCAAGGTGTACACGTCTGGGGAGAATGACCAGTACATCATGATTGGCCGCACAAAGGTGCTCCGCTCCGAGTTGTGGAATGCCTTTGGAGGTGATTTGCAACCAGGTATCCACGCCACGCCACCACGTCGTTTTGCCAACCCAGCTCCGCTAGGGTTGTGCGCCTTTGCCTTGACAACATTTGTTCTCTCGATGGTTAACGCCAGAGCCATGGGTATCACTACTCCTAACATTGTCGTTGGTTTGGCGCTCTTTTACGGTGGCTTTGTCCAGTTACTCGCTGGTATGTGGGAGATTGCCCTTGACAACACTTTTGGTGGTACTGCCTTGTCGTCGTACGGTGGTTTCTGGATGAGTTATGCTGCGATTCAGATTGACTGGTTTGGTATCAAGAGCGCCTATACCGACCCAATTGAACTTGCCAACGCGGTTTCCTTCTTCTTGCTCGGCTGGACCATTTTCACCTTTATGATTTTGCTCTGTACCGTCAAGTCCACCGTTTCCTTCTTCTCCTTGTTCTTTTTCTTAGAGATCACCTTCTTGTTGTTGACGATTGGTGATTTCACACGTCGTGTTGGCGTTACTAGAGCTGGTGGTGTCTTTGGTGTTATCACCGCATTCATCGCATGGTACAATGCCTTTGCTGGTATTGCTACAAAGGAGAACAGTTACATCACCATCAAGGCATGGCCTTTGCCAGGTGCAAAGCGTGCCTGAACTTGGTATTTGCTGAGCTGGTTCTATCTGTTTACCTTGTTTCTAACATGATTTGAAAAGAC